TGTCAACAACTTCGAGCTTAGTACTCCCAAGAACTACCAGCATAGGTGTGACATGGACATTAAACATGATCTTTGTTTTGTCCATGTTCATCTTAAGACCTATCCTATATTACTCTAGCGTAGTAGAACAAAATCATGAATTTTATACATGCAAAGTTGCAAAAAAGTACGAAAAATTAACAAGTCTTTGTCAATACTATAAACATAGTGAATTATCTCATCTGAAATAGTATTTATAGTATTAGAAAACAATAACGATAATTCAAAAATAAGTTTCACATCATAGCAAATGAAAAAGTAAATTTAAGTAACTAAAAATATCAGATAATCAGAACATGACTAAATCACTTCATACTTATCAGGATTGCAGCATAAACACACTGATAAAATAACTAATATTAATATTAGTGCCACTTAAAGGAGCTTTAACAACGAAACAAAAAAATAGGTTGAAATTTAGAATCGTTTGGCAGGAGGAGGGGGCTGGGGTCGAGGGGAGGGGAAGGGGGAAGCGTCCCCTTACTCCCGACACCACTCCCATTAAAAGGTAATACACCATTCTTGAGAAAAATCAAAAAGAAAATCCCATAGACCTAACCTGAAAGTAACATTTATTATTAACAAGGGGAAGAGGGTAGCAGGAGTGTGCCTTATCAGGGAAAGCCCCTCTACCTTTCCCTCGTTGCGGAAAAGTATAGTTTATGAGTAATGTTTTTTTTTTGTAAAATCATAACCTCACTTTTTTTACACAGGAATATTGATCCAAAGTTACTTCTACAAGGGCTTCGGCGCTGCGGGCAGTGCAGCCCCTTTGCCCTTGCGTAGCGAATCGCAGGCACCCATGCTCACCACCGCAGCTTCAGCTTATTGGTCGCCGAATACGGCTCGCACAGGTGCCTGCGATTTGCTACGGCGGGCGGGGGCTGCTCTCCTTCCGCGCCTACGGCTTTACAAAAACACTCTAGGAGTAGGGCAGACAAGACTACATGGAGTCGGGTGTGCTGGTTTAAGTTTAGTACAGATTTGATCAGATTAGATATCTTATCTATAAAGTCAAATTGCATTTGCTCCCGCCACAACCTTCTAATTCTAACCTATTACAATTGAAATTATTTCTGGGTGTTCAAGTATTTCTGGGCAGTTTTAAATAATTCAGAAATAAAACAGTATATTATTATAATAATTTCTTTACTGTCTGTAAACATAATTTTTTTTTAAATCCTCATAAGGATCTCTTTTATTCCTTATTATCCTTCTCCATAAATATTCATATATCAAGTCGGTAGCGAAATATCTCTTGACAGTGAGTATAGACAGTAGTATAATATGACACTAGTCTTACGTCCTTGTCGCACTTACACGAAATTCTGTATGCTATCCAGCTTTCATAGTAAGTTTTCCATGTTTTACGCATTTTGGGTTATAATAGTTTTTATTTATTTTTTCGATATAGGTGCCTTTTAATGTGAGTGGTGTTATTATAATCAGGGACCAAATTTCTACCAGATAAAACACCTTACTCTGCCAAATTCGTGCCAAACGATTCTAAATCCAACCCAAAAAATATGACTTAAAAGTAGAAGCACAATAAGCAGTAGTTATAAGATTAAATATGACTATATTAAAAATTACATTGAATGCAATATTATGTTCAAAATTTGCTAAGTAAATATTATATCACCAATCGCATTAGCCTATTTGACTACAGGCCGCCAAGATCTCTTGGTATCATCACTATTGATCACTGCTGTAATATTACGACTGGCTGTTTCTTGCACACGTTTAGTGCTAGATGAACCTTGTGTTGACTTTGAATTATTTGTAATATCCAAGGTATTAAAAGTAACGTCTGACCTGATTGGAGTACTTGTTGTGGGATATTTGGCCATCAAAGCATCTAAATGCTCCATCGCAAGAATCTTATTATAACCACCAGGATGTTTAACATAGATAACACCACCCAAAGTCCACACATTCTTTATTTCAAAATGTTTTCAAGCTCTTTTATGTATTGATTGCCTGGTTATAGTAACGAATTTGGAAACAGACATTAGCCAGCCTTTCAATTTTGATTTAACTTTCCACACTTCCTGTTTTGTGTGGTGATCACGAAAATATACTATAACAGGCCTAATGTGGTTACTTTGCTGCACACCAAGTCTATAGCAGTTTTCCAAGCTAATGGCACTTATATGTTTTAAGCCCAATTTATTGTGCAACAATCGTAGCATTTCATCAATTATATTAGTCACAGATGCCTCTGGGATGCCATTAAAAACAATAGCTTTTCGACAATGCCACATGCTAATAGTATCAACATTCTTCATGAACTCATAAACCTGCTGCCATAAAAGATTTAGCATTTTGATAACAGGTTCCTTAAAGGAGTAAAATTCTACCGTAGCTGTGCCAGTGTTGGGTTTATTGGAAAGGTTGAATCTTCCAACTCTCTCTGCATATTCTCAACATCCATGACACTTGCCATTATTCAAGCACTGATACCACGAAAGTAATATACTATGTAAACAAGTGAACACTGTTACGAATTTAGATTATGGAGGGAGGGATTTAAATTGTCATACTTATTAAACACTGAATCAATAACAAATTACTAGTTATTATATTAGCACAAATACTAAAAATTATATTCAAAATTATATTTAGATCATAAAATATTACGAGAGCACTTTTGTAACTATTTTATTCAACACCTACCCGCCAAAAAAGTTAATGTTCACTTTGACATTAACTTTTTTGGCGGGTAGGTGTTGAATAAAATAGTTACAACAACATAAGTTGACACCACTATAACATCAGAACTGAACCATTTTTGGCATGGTACTACTAAGTTAATTTACTACCTATATATGGCTACAGGATGTTATTAAGGAGAATGAAAGTGGGTTATGTTTGACAATTATTGGTAGATAGTTGCTTATAGCCGGAGAAACATGGACTAACACCAAAATCTGCCATAAGTCAGAAAGTTATTTTCAAATGTGTGTGATAGAGAATGAAAGCAACAATTTACTAGCTGCTTCTATCAACTAACGCTATAATCACGGCACAACTAAATAATGTAGAAGAGGGAAATAAAAGTGTGGTTTTTACTCAGTAATACACTCTGGCAGCCCGATGATTACAGGTGATAGAAAACAATTATGCTTCAGAAATAATTTAATTTTATGGTGATATATAATAAATAAATTTAAATATAAAATAAATATGTGTTTGTGGTATTTATTTATACTAAAATATTTTTTATTATTGTATTATAACACTGTAATGTGCTGACAGCAATTCTAAAAATATTTGTTTTTCTACTGACTTCAACCAGGAGGAGATTCTTAATTCAACTGTATGTTGTTTTCTTTATTTGTGTTACCTCATGACTTCTTTCTGGGTTTTTTTAATTATTTTTTTATAGGATAAGGGTGACAAACAAGCACACAGTCCACCTGATGGTAAGTGGTTGCTATGGCCCATAGACATCTACATCTATCTTCGATTACAAATCAAAATGCAGATGTGTTGTCACCCGTGAGGACTAAGATGGAATGCCATGTTTACAGTAAAAAGGGTCTCCAGTTCTCTACACCCACCATACAAAACACAGCAGTGTTAAGCTGCTATTTTACGCTGGTATTCTCTGAGAGTGTGGTTCTTCCCCAGTCAAGCCGACCCATTCATGCTACAACCATAATATAGCTGCAGCATGTATAAAAACCAAAAATAAAAGAAAAAAAGAATCATCAAAATTGGGTGAACCAATTTTCTTTTTTTATTTGAAAGCTGGTGCTTCACATGAGATCCTATATAAATTTGATCAAGGTTTGACCAAGTTTCTGAGTTATTCTTAATAATTGATATCGAAGTTGGTTGTGCAACATTTCTAATTTTAAATTATTGATTGTTTAATCAGGTGCATTTTTTAAGTCGAAGGTGACTTTAACCGAAGCTTTGGTTGGACACAAGATTTATGTAATTTTTTAAGCTAAATAGGTATACTATTTACCTGCTTACTACAGCCAGGAACTAGCAACAGAAAAGTTTATAAAACTATTTATTTAATAGCCCCTTTTATAAACTAACCTTTTTATTCACATACATGAAATGTTTACTGATGTCATATTGTTTTTCTTAAATATTTTCAGTTGTCAATTTAATACTGATGAGATATATACAATGTAGTAATACGAATCACACTTGTAAGCTTGTAACACACTGTTTGTCATGTGAAAGAAATTATCATTAGATGACAGCATGTTTAACACGTTCGCGTGAGCAACATCTTACAACGTCGTGTTGATAGAATTATGAAACAGCGCGACGTCATAGGACGACCTCTAGATTGTCATATTTATTTCCGCGGATGAAAGTTGTGACGTTTATTGTGGTATATCGGACCTGCGTGGTGGCGGCAATATTTATAAACGTCGGACGTGAAGGAACGTTGCGCCACATAACACAGTTCTGAGACATACGTATTACGGCAGGACGTCTTGAGACGTTGCTTAACTCAGTATGGGAAAAAAGTAACAAACATTATACCGCCGCAGTACAAACATTTAGAGATGAGGTTGCTCACACGAACGTGTTAAGAAATAAAATAACACATGTACAATATGAAAGTATGGCCACCATACCCAGACATAAAAGGCTTGTGACCAGCAATAGAATACATGCATTAGCTTATGACCTTTTTTTAAATGTTAAATGAATGAGAAGGTTTTAACCTTAATTACTATGAGTATAAGGGAGCTGCAACATTTTATGAGATAAAATTTAGTTTTGAGGTTAAGCAGACCTGAACTGTAACAGTACTGTTAATTGTGGGTTTGGAAATAACATGATCCCTTTTTATTTTATTTTAATATTTTAAATACCTACATCATTGAAAATAGTACATACACAAACATCTGTCATTAAACCCAAGGTTAGTGTTTGTACCTCATATATTCCAAGTCTAAGATACGTATCGATAGTAAGAATTACATTACCTAAGTCAAAGGATTTGACCGTCGCAAGAGACTCCCATTTGTCCATCTTATGGCTTTCTAAAGGTAACTGTTCTTTGCAGAATAGTGGCGATGATGTTGAATCCACGATTTTAATTCATTAAAGTCTCTATAAATCATGATCAAGCGAAAACCATTTGGATTTCGCAACGGGAACTATTTAGAAAATAATACATCTTTTTCACCATACAATAAAACCAAAAATAATTAAATTTTTAACCACACAAACACGAATCACAAACACACGACGTTTCTTCGATCAGTGTTCTTATCGTAAAAAAATCTGAGCTGCCATATGTCACAGGCAGGTTTGCCGTATTTTAAGGAAAAAATACTAAATTGCCGTATTTCATTAGTTATTTTAAAACTATCTATTCCTTATTTGTTTCTCCTGCGTATTATTTTATATTGTTTATTTGTCACATGTCCTCGCGAAGTTGAACATTTACACGATAATTTAACGTCTGACACTAAGCACTTTGTTCTAGACGGATCATCATCCACAAGAGCAATTCAGTTTTGAATGAAAACAATAGGTGAAATAATTATAATTCATGTTAGTAGAAGTACGTTGTCCTGTGGTTAAAAAAGAGTGATTTTCAATAAGTATTATTTAAAAGTTTCTGTTTCTTTCTTCTTGTTCTATTTTCAATGCTCGAAGGTTAATGACGATGCACATAGTCACGAACTAATAAGAAGCCACAGACGTCTACATATAAAGGGTGTCTCAGCGCTGATTTTAAACTTTAAATACGAATTTCTCGGCAACCGGCGGGGTTAGCGGGAGGGGAGAGGTAGCGTTCGGTAGGTGATTAGTGCGGGCTTTTTAGTCGCTATATTCCAGTGGTCTGGCGCGCACCGCTTTCACTGAGGGAAGCACAGCGCAAGTTTTGTAATCGCTATGAAATCCGCCGTTTAAGTGATGCCCCGAGTATTCAGTTAATTAAGTCGTGGGTAAAAAAGTTCAGAGCGACAGGATGTTTAATGAAACATTCAATTGGCCCTCGAATTAGACCTGTTCGATCGATTGAAAACATCGACCGCGTCGCCGCTGCGGTCGCGGAGCATCCACGACGATCAGTTAGAAAACATGCTGCCTCTTTGAATCTTCATCGTTCAAGTATTCAACGAATTTTGGCCTTAGACTTAAAATTACATCCCTATAAAATCCAAATAATTCAAAAAATCAAACCAGAAGACTACAAGAAGCGAAAAATTTTCTGTCAGAAGATGTTAGGGATTTTTTCAGAGGAAAATGGGATGTCCAATGTTTATTTTAGCGATGAGTCACACTTTCACCTCGAAGGGTACGTCAATCGCCAAAATTGCCGTTACTGGTCACCCAGCAATCCAAAACAAAAACATCAGAAGGCATTACACAGCCCCAAAGTTACTGTATGGTGCGCAATATCGGCGAAGAAAATCATCGGGCCATTTTTCTTCGAGAATGATCTAGGTGCAACGGTTACAGTGACGAGCGAGCGGTATATCGCCCAGCTGATTTTTTTTATGGGGTTATCTTAAAGCAAGAGTTTTTGATACCCCTCTTACGAATTTAGAGCAGCTGAAGACTAAAATAACGACAGAAGTGAGGGCCATATCAATTGACGTTCTGCAGCGTGTTTCTGCAAATTCGTTAGTCCGCTTTGAAGAGTGCATTCGTCGTGATGGAAGACATCTTGACGGTGTAATATTCCGTACATAAAATCCGCACTAATGTACTATAATTTACTACAATTAAAATATTATAAACACAATTGTTTTTTTTTATATAAATATTCAAAGTTTAAAATCGGCGCTGAGACAGCCTTTACATAGATAGTTGCGCAAACACTTCTTATTAGTTTGTGGCTAGCACACCAGGTACGTTCCGGCCTACAAATATTAAAATTTCTAAAAAAAAATCTCATTTTATAGATCTTAATTTGCCCTTTCGACCTACAATAATTATTTCATATACCCGTTTTTCGTTTTCCCGGGAAAAATCAAAATAGAATTTTCCATCTTCTTATATTTCAAATAGTCATATCTCTTTGAAAATGAATATTATTTACTCCACCAAACTTAAAAAAATTGCCCTTGGGCTACTTTAATTTGCCCGCTTGCAAATTCTTAAAAATATTCGATAATTAACAAATAAACAATAAAAAATTGTCGTGGCATTTTCAAGCCAATTATTTGCACATTGCGCATGCGCGACAGAATAAAGGTGATACTCACATCGTATACCTGCTGATCAGCAAAAGCGTGGTCTGCTATAACACGAGAGGCCTACTGAAGGAAGTGTTACAAACAAGCAAACAACAGTGAAAAAGAGGTTATTGTTTTTTGTTTTCACAAAATATATAGTCGAAAACAGTGAAAAACTTGATACTGAAAAAGATTACTAATGAGTAAAAATCATTAATATTTTTAATATTACAAACTCGCCGTGTTATGAAAATCTTCTATGAGAAAGAAAATGTTCACAAAAAACACCAACATGTTCTAATTTGACAATAAAACCTATATAGCTTTAAAGCTATGTTTATGAAAATAACAATAGTTTTTGTTTCATCCAAATTGGTGCAGAAATACGAAAGTTATAACGTTTTGAAGTTTCGCAATATTTTTTAATTTTTACCCGCTCCTTCTCTGTGACGTGACGTCACAATCCGAGAGAGCGAACGTGCAGTAGGAACTTGCTAAGTTCAGTACTAACCGCGCGCTCGGAAGTATACGGTCGTTTAACTACATATTATATCGAATGCCAGAGTTAATGTCCGGTTAACTATATTAGATGACATAAGACTTATAATAAACCCAACGATATAGTCGTTGGGTTTATTATAAGTCTATTATAATTTTGAACTAATAATTTATGAATAATCTAATCTAATCCAATGTAATCAATATTATTTATGATGAATAATTTAATCTAATAATCTAATCTATTATTATGAATAATGTAATCAATGAACTATTAATAATATTTGACATTTATATGCCCATGAGGATTCAACTCGGCTGGGCAGCGTTCGGGAAACTACGACACATCTTCTCGTTAGACATACCTCAAAACCTGAAAACGAAATTGTACAACCAGTGCGTGTTGCTAGTGATTACTTACGGATCTGAGACGTGGTCCTTCACTGCTGGCCATATGAGGAAGCTCAAGGTCGCTCAGCGAGTTATGGAGAGGGCTATGCTCGGGGTTTCTCTGCGTGATAAACTTAGAAATGAGGATATCCGCAGTAGAACCAGAGTAACCGACATAGCTCAACGGATTAGTAAGCTGAAGTGGCAGTGGGCCGGCCACATAGCTCGAAGAACCGACAACCGATGGGGAAGAAAGGTTCTCGAGTGGCAGTCCCGTACCAGTAGGCGAATTGTAGGGCGACCCCCCACTAGATGGAGTGACGACCTGGTGAGACATGCAGGAAGTCGATGGATGCAGGTGGTTCAGGACCGTACTTTGTGGCATTCCTTGGGGGAGGCCTATGTTCAGCGGTGGACTTATGAAGGGCTTATGACGATGATGATGCCCATGAGGCTGATCACAGACTGAACTTTATTTGTGTTTAAATAAGACCTTTATGTAAACTGTGAATCACCAATAAACTATTTGATTTGATGTATAAACTAAAGTATTGAAAATTTAGCTTTTATATGATATTTTTTCCAGTAAAATTAAATTTATTTTTATATCATTTTATTTAATTATTTATTTTCACCAACAATTTACATTCAGAAACCAAAAAATATGTGCTTACATCTGATACAATACTATTGTTAGGTGAAAAACTGGTGATTAAACTAGGTAAAACCTGTATCTTAGGTCACCATTTTTTCCCAAGGAGCGTGATATAACAGAAATTTAAAAAAACAGAAAATAAAGGTTACTGATAAATAAATAACATGACAAGAAAAATATGGAGTAATAAATATGGAGAGAATAAGAAAAATGTAACAATAAAGACTACTGATGGCATCGACGTATCGTTTAATTATGACGTCACATCGCGATGCGGAGCGAAGCGGTCACTCTTACCGTAAAACACCACTTTAATCATGAATATTTCAGTCATTTTCAAAGGTAGAAAAAAAATAAGAATACCGTTGAATTCGTAATTTTTTATACAATTTTTTGATACCCTTAACAAAATTGGGTGGCTAGACCCATTGTAACATTAAAATTGTACAAAGAGATATGACTATTTGAAATATAAGAAAATGGGAAACACTATTTCGATTTTTCCTGGGAAAACGAAAATCGGGCTTATAAAATAATTCACGTAGGTCGAAAGGGCAAATTAAGATCTATAAAATGAGAATTGTTTTATTTCGAAATTTTATTATTTGCCGTCAAAATCTCCCAAGGGCTGCACAATGTGACGCATCAACATATTGTGAAGCAGTGGAAATTCTATATATTCAAAATAAAAAAGACAAAGCTGTATGGCATAGTTGCTTTGCCAGCTCTCTCGAGCGAATAATAAAAACAACAACGACATCAAAATCAAATGTCAATCAATCAATGTTTGCTTTGCGAAACCATGTGTGTGTTTGTAAATATGTGTAAGAAATAAAATAAAATAAAAATTTTAAAATGAATCTTCTACCTAAAACTCATAAAGAATTTAGTGATAAGGACTACTGGAATAAGTTTTTTAAAAAACGTGGCAATAAAGCATTCGAATGGTATGTTGAATTATACATTGATTTCATTTCCTTCTTTTTTATTTCGTCTTCGTTTTTTATTACATAGTACATACTTATTTACATATTTTTTGAAGGTACGGTGAATATATAGAACTATGTGAGCACTTGCACAAATATATAAAACAAAAAGACGCAATTCTCATTGCGGGTTGTGGAAATTCCAGCCTTAGTGCTGATCTCTACGACATTGGATTTTCTAACATTACCAATATAGATGTGTCCGAGGTTGTGATTAAGCAAATGAAAGCAGCAAACTTAGAACGAACCAACATGAAGTTTCTTCTTATGGATGCACTAAACATGACATTTGCTAATGACGAGTTCAATGTGGTTCTTGATAAGGGAACATTAGATGCTTTAATGCCGGATGAATCGAAAGAAACTATTGAAAGGGTGGACCAGTATTTTGCTGAAATAAAGAGGGTGCTAAAACTTGGTGGTCGTTATTTATGTATTTCATTGCTGCAAAAACACATTCTGAATAAATTACTTAAAGAATTTTGTGACAAATCATGGATGTTCCGTGTTGTGAGATGCCATGAGGCAGAGGAAAAGAATATAGAGAATGGCGATGGGAATACATTGCCTGTATTCTTTATAGTAGCTACTAAGTTTAAAGAAATGCCAAAATTGGTAAGGATATCGGAATATTATTTTGTTATTATTACTATATATTTATGTAAGCAGCATGTATTATGAGCACTGTTATAGTTTTTTAGTAAGCAACAGTAATTCAGCAGGATTAGATTTGTTGTTCATTTAGACATCAGTGATTAGCATAAGTGTGAACTCCCCAATTTGGTTTCATTAAAGTCCACGACTGGTCAAGGACCTCTCCATCCTAAACGAGGATTTGCCTTAATCATCACTGACAAGATAATGATAGTACCAGATATCTCGTACCTTTGATGCTTTTACCTTTTCTGGTCTAGGTATTTTAGGTCTGGCATAAACTAGAGGGTTATGCTGCAATTTATCGGAAGCCTTAATCTATGAAGTGTCTCCCCCTTTGCAGACATTTGATAGCCCGGGTTCTCCGGCAGTGTGACTTATTACGTTTTTCTGCTAACAAACTAACTAACAAGTTGCAAATTAAAAATTATTTGTTACCTGGCTTTGTATATTAACAAGCCTTTCTTTAGATATGAACAGCTTATGTAACTGGCAACACAGTAAATTAATTAAGAAGAAATCGATGCCTGCAGTAGAAGCGAGACAATAGCTTTACGGGAATTTTAGGGAATTTGATACCTCAGGGGAAAAGATTTTTGTGACACTTTTCGATGTTGCCTCTTACAATACTTACGGTACAAAACAGACTGATGTACAATCTCGTAAATGCTTTAAAATAAATCTGTGTTAACTAGACTTATTGTCCAGAGAGTAGAGTAGAGACCAATATTGTCCAATGCTCAAAAGTCTTACTGATAAATATACTTAATGTTTTATTATATTATCTATGAAGATGTGTGCCAAATTGTTAACTAATAAATATATCATAAATGAACTTCTTCAATAGATTCTGGAAATATGCTTGGCCGGTGATAAAATGGTCAGACTTGACACTCCTCAAGAGTTACAGGACTGTATCAGGTCAGTTCAAGACACGGCGTTTGTTACTAATGGACTTACTAAGACAACTTTGGATGAAAATGATGAGGTAAGCTTATTTAGATTATAATATTATGTTGATTAGTAGTGTAATAATTATAATAAATCAAAATAAGTTAATAATTTATAACTGACAATTTCTTATGTTTACAAAAATGAAGTGATTTTTAAATGAAACTAGTTTTATGCATTTTATCAACTTATTTTATATTCCCGATATAACCTTACAGCACTGATGGGTCATAGGGGAATGAGCCACATCTACTTTTAGTTTAATATTATTAATATTTGGCCTGATCTATGCAGAACTTAAAGTATCTTAAAGTTTTGCAGTTGTATGCTTGGGTTGGGATTTAATTTTATTATTATATAGGATCCCAAGCAGATGATAGCACCCAGCCATCATCTCTATTGAAATTAGGAAGTTTTTCAACTTCACTAGCCTTACAAATCATTCTTGGAAGAATCTGTGTTCTTTTTTGAGGATTTGTAGTATATCAAATCTGATGTAGGGAGGGGGGTGATTGGGGGTGTTCACAGACTACAGACTTCCACACAGTTTAAACACATCAGCTATGTATTTAAACCATTGTAAAATCATAGCTAAGATTCAGTATGAGAGTAAGCCGAGTTTGATTTACCCTACCGCCTCCTTTAAAATTATTAATTACAATTTTGTATGCTGATTTACCAAGTGCTCGTTGGTAAATCAAAATATTGTAGGGAAACGTGCATGACCAAGAAATAAATATTCAAAGCACTAGAGTAGCAAGCCTATACACTCCTCTTACGATATGCATGCAATGATGTGTAGTAGTTTGTAATCTTACACCCATACTACACGGTCTATTTTCAACAGTATATTCTCAATTAAGAATCAAAATGCAGATGCATCATCATCACACATTAGTAAAAAGTCATCTTGTCACACACCATAATATGAATACATCAGCCTTATGCTTATTACATTAGTGGAAGTGTTTCCCTTCCTTTATCGAACTGACCCAATCACAATATTTGCTTAGCATGGCTCTCATGTGAAAATCGAGCTAACTGATGCACAGTTTGTAACTACAGGTAGCTATGGATCTGATGCAGCCGGGTGAGGAGAGTCCACGCTACACTTTGTATATTGTTGATCAAAAACGAGCACAGTCCATTAATAAGTATGCCATCTTCATTGTGCCGCAGGGCAGGTAAGTTTCTATTCTAGAGCAAGTTGTTGTGTGTTATAACCAATACTACTAAACAGACACAACGGTATTAATACATTATATGCACTAAGTTAGAGTAAATTCTCCGTAACTTATTTTGTCAACTACGGGTGCCTGACAAGACTAGTTCCTTGTTTTGTAAACCGCAAACATTGTTTTCTACTATCTAACACTGATCTAGTTTAATGTGACTAAGAAAACGCTGTCATTATTTATGTACGCACTTTGTCAACGTGATTTGAAGTTTATTTCAGGTAAGGATGTAACTTTATTGTGTATTTGCCTAAAAACCGTAACTATCGTATAAATGAAGATAAAAGCAAGCATGGCATATTTTCTGTGCTAGCTACCCACACAGACCGTGCCTGCTCGGTCCACATCTATGATACAGTTTTTGTTTTGAATTGTTGGTCAAATAGTACACTTAGAAGTCTTTGGTTAAGCTATAATATTCTAACGCCAGTGACACTACATAAAGAATGTAAACACACTGACCTTTACTGAATAGCGGTATGACTGTTATCGATGCCCTTTTCTACTTTTGATCGCTGTATGTACAGACAGGTATTCTATTTTATTTCTCAAAGTGTTTGAAGCTGCAGTAGTTATGTACCATGACTATTTAGACCAACATGCCTAGCATGGGCTGGGGACAAAAAAATTATCCCCCGATTATATCCACTGACAAGAGAAAAAATTGTCTTGTCCTTATGCCAAAGCAAGGAAATGGGGAAAAATATATCCCCGTTTGACATAACAAGTAGACATATATTCCTGTCTGTAGCATGGAGCCAAATGAAAGATAAAAAAATATGCTTTTTTGACATTTTTCTCTTTTCCCCGGGGATAAAATTGTCTCCTGCCCATGCTAGCCCTACAGCAGGTGTAGAGGTTACAAATCATCTGCCATATAGTCCAAACATAGCACATTGCAATCGGTATTTATCCCTAAAAATCAAATACTAAGTTTAAAATGTTCCTCTATAAACTTTTAAGATGGAGTCCACTGCATTTTAAAAGGTCATTGAAGATACTCCTATAAAAACACAAAGACACGAGAAGAATCATCAAAATCGGACACCCAGAAAAAAGTTCTGAGGTAACACATAAAAAAAAAACATGCGTGAGTGTTGTAGAACACTCGGTTGGAACGAAGTTTCTTTCGTAGTATATTATTGTTGATAAACGTATTATATTATTGATTAACAAATACAAATAAATGAATTACTATCGTCACCGCCGAACTAACGAACGAAATGAAGTACTATCGACACCGCTGAAATTGTTAATTGCAATTTTAAGTGCTGATTAATCGCGTGCTTGGCGGCGGAGTAAAACATCGTGAGGAAACATGTATGTCTGAGAAATTAAAAAAAATGTTTCGAAGACGTGAAGTTCGTCAACACGCATTGCGACAGCGCGGCGTACATTGCCCTAAATTCCTCACAGGCACATAATAAACAAAAACTAAAATTAAACTGAGTAGCTTAGTTGTGATGAAAACAATTACGAAGCTTATTGAAATAATTTATAATTAAAAATTTTGTACAACCGACTTCAATATAAATTATTAAGATTAACTCAAAAAACTATTGGTCAGACCTTGATCAAATTTATATACATGAGAAGCACTAGCTCTCAAATAAAAAAAAGAATCATCGAAATCGGTTCACCCAGAAAAAAGTTATGAGGCAACACACATAAAAAAAGAAAAAAAAACAAACATTCTAATTGAGTACCGTCTCCTTTTTGAAGTCGGTAGAAAATACGTAATTAGCCCACTATTAGGCGGACACCTGCGCCGCGTTGCAGCCACATCTGCCTGTGGCATCATAGCTCTTTAACGGATGAATCGATTTTCATTAAATTTTTTCCCGTTTGATAGATGACTTAATCGAGTGTTTCAAGAAAATCTGTTCAGCCGTTTGTTAACAAACTGACAAAGTTTATTACAAATAAATATGCACTTATAACACAATGTATATAGATTTAATTATTATTTTTACAGATTACTCAATATTACAGTTTTGTCATTACTACACTTAATCACACTGTGAATAATTCGGCGCGTTTTCTCTAAACAGAATGCCCAATAATCATGATGCACCCTAATTTTTACATTTCCCTTTCCACTTCTCTTCCGTTGTGCACGAAGAGGGGCGGACGATGTTGGTTGCCAACACGTTTGAAGATCATCAGGTTTTTTTTCGGGGTTTTTTTTTTAATTTTAAATTTAAGTTATTAATTAACTTGATCCGTTTCGCTGCAAAGGGCTTTTGCGTCCTCTTACATTTTTTATTGCATTTATCACGGGGAGCGCCTCAAGGAATTGCTCGGATAATACCAGCCGGCAAATTTTCTACTTTCATAAAAAGAGCCCATTCTTCACCAAAAGCCGGCAATAAATCTGCGTTTCATCTGGCGTTGCAGATGTATCTTAATATCACGTAAGCTGCAGAACTACACAACAAACGATAGCATGCCTCCTCTTGTAAAAACAAATTTATGGCAATAAGAAGTATAGTCTATATTCTAAAGTCTCATAACTTCAATAACTTAAAACGTGGTAGAGCCACGGTGCAACAGTATTATGTGTTGTAGCACGAATGGGTCGGCTCTACCGTGAAAAAACTACGCTCTCACAGAATACCAGCGTATAATTTTAAATTTAAAATTTTGTACAACCGACTTTCAAATAAATTATTAAGAATAACTCAAAAACTATTGGCCACACCTTGATCAAATTTATATGGGACCACATGAGAAGCACCGGCTTTTAAGTAAAAAAAAGAATAATCGAAATCGGTTCACCCAGAAAAAAGTTATGAGGTAACACACATAAAATAAAACATACAGTCGAATTAAGTACCGTCTCCTTTTTGAAGTCTGTAGAAAATAGCAACTTAATACTGCTGTGTTTCATAGGTGAGTGTAGATAACCGGGGAATCATACTTATTACTGGAATAAGGCATTCCATACCTTATTACTGGAATAAGATATTCCATACCTTATTGTTGGAATAAGGAATTCCATACCTTATTACTGGAATAAGGCATTCCATTTTATTCCTGAAGGGTGACAACACTGCATTTTGATTTTTAATTGATGTTAGATGTAGGTGTCTGTGGGCCACAGCATCCACTTACCATCAGTTGGACTGTGTGTTCGTTGATCACTCTTATTCTATGAAAAAAAGGACAAATAACTTGGCAATAGCCTACGACTATGAGGAGGGACATGTGACGTTTATCATCTGCAAATCAACGTCTAGCTACTATTTAAGTACGTTTATAATAGCCTGTTTACAACACTGCGTCCAGAAGGATAGGGATAATGTTTACATCATTTTCTTTGGAGGCGTCTGGCGAAATGCCAACGACATGGAGCTACGAATGTTATGCATATAAAATAATATCAAAAATAATATTTCACATGGCTCATGACCATAACTTTCACGTACCATCTCTAGTTTCCATAACCGATTAGAAGGTAGCTTGGTAATGCAGTAGTATTGGACGTCTTAGTCATGAACATGACGTTCCGGGTTCGAATTCCGGGTCGCGCTAGTTATTGAGTTTTTCTTTCAGCGAAATTATCAGTAGCAGGCCGTAGTCAAGAATTTGGCATCGTTTCATTTCCGAGTCTCGGAGAGCACGTAAAGCCGTTGGTCCTGCGCCTGACCTCTCTCCGATCGTGTCGTGTCCCATTGGACTCTGAGAGCGATGGAATACAGAATGCACTTGTGCTTGTACATACACTCTGTCACTATAATCCTGTCTTGCGCAAATGGCTAGTCCGTCCGTTTAGACTGGCCGTCCTGACTGAAATTCGGTATGTAGGGTATTAGTCCTGGCGCATAAAAAGTTTCGGAGTATTTTTAACCGACTTCAAAAAGGAGGAGGTTCTCAATTCGAGTGGTTTTTTTGTATGTATGTTACGCGATATCTTCGCAGTTGAATCGAGGATAGATGTAGTGTCTATTGACCACAGAATTCACTTCTCATTACGTGGACTGTATGCTCATTTGGGATAGGGATAGGGCGGATTTTGCCATAGTTGCCACGCTTGTCTGTCGGGGGGGGGGGGGGGGGGTCACCTGCTGTTTTATTTTTATTTTGAGTTGTTATCGGGAAGATGCTTTCACGAGGTTGTCGCAAGTAGCGACAGAGGTTAATAAACCAGGAGAAGGGCAACAGCATCTTCCTGGTTGATTTGTTTCTTCCGGGTTCAATTTTGTTTATAAATCTTTAGGAATTATAAACAGATAAAAACATGTATTACAATTGTAAATAGATAAATAATGTAAACGGGAGCAGTTTCTATCGGCAAACTATTTGACATTTTGGCTGACTATAATTTGTAAAATATTGTAAGATTTTTGTTGATGTTGTAATTAAATAACAATAACTACTTAAAATAATAAAAAATCGGTTGCCAACCAGCCTGCTAAGCGTGGCAACTATGGCAAATACCACAGCAAGCTAGCACTCTATGGGGCAAACGCGAAATTTTACTATATAATAGCTGTAGTTTTTTGACGTTGAAGTCTGAAAGAAAAGTTTAACTAATATACATTATATTGATTTGGACTAAACAAAAATAATTTGGGCCGTGTCATATCCAAGTTTTTATTATTCCTTATTCTTGTCGGGATTTCGTCAGGCATCCGCCCACAAAGTTCAACAATTGAAGCACCAGTGATCACGTTCGCGATCGTGCCTAAACTTGATCTGTGCTTGCAGTGTACGGACGTGTGTGTACCTTTTATCTTTGTATATTTCTTAAATATTTTCTGACCGTTGCACAAACGTGTCAATTTATTTTCGCAGGACAAAAAACCATAGTAAGTTCAATACTCAACGATAAAAAATATTTTTAATAGAATTTCGTTTTGAAATAATTTTTTCGTTTCATTTGTCTTTTATTTAAATGTTTTGTAAAATTATCAATTTAATAAATAATCGATTATATAAAAATATAACCGATTCTTTTTGTGTGGCGAGAAAGTATAAATACTGTGTAAGCTAAAACATAAATAGTGAATAGTTACTATCGCTAACAACACGTTAAGCAAGTTTTTGTTTAATATGTCACGTAATTATTATGGTTTCATACTATGACTGCCTTGTTGGTCTAGTGGAAGTAAGCGTGGCTGTTGATCATGTGGTCCCGAGTTCGAGTCCCGGGTCGGGCCAAAATCAGTAATTTGGTTTTTTCTGTCAAGAATGTGATTTTGAATGCAAAATTCTGTTAGACATGACAGTAAATTGGTTGACTGGTAGAGAATGCCTCATGGCAATAAGTCCGTTCTTTGTATTCTCTTAGATTAAGGAATGTAATAAAGAATAAATATATAAATAATAATAATTATTATTTAGTGTTCTTGTCTGGTTGGGATGCATGAATACTTATAACAATATGATACAGACATAAATAAGATAATTATAATACATATGTATGCATCTGTGACGGCGTTAATCAATTAAGGCGACAGTAGCCTAATGATGCGTTGCGGACCGCCAATTGACTACTGTCGTGAACCAATTCTAACACAAGCATTTTAAGCTTACCTGGAGTGGTTAAAGCATTTTAAGTGTTTTTTTTAAATTAAATAAATCATTAGTGCGCGCAGGATTTAATTGGGAGGGAGGGAGGAATTAAATTGCATAATTTAATTCCCTCTCTCTCCATTCCACCAACGGATAACCAGACGTTCGGCCAGTTCCCACCTTTTCGTTGTTGAATTAACGCATTCGAACCAAACGGTTCGCTACATCGTTCATCATGAGTACAGCAAAGGAGTGGAATAAGTAGCCAGCATCTGTGTTTCCATCCGAGTATAATGTGGGTATCTGCAAGACAAGAGTGAATAGGCTTTTGTTAAGTCAGTGCACTTCACCATCTTAGGCTACATCACCACTTACCATCAGGTGGGATTGTAGTTAAGCGCTGGTTTAGAATAAATTAAAAAAAATTACCCTATCTCGAACCGTGCACGCCGTTAAATCCTCCGTAAGCTGACTTAATCATCCTTCTCTCTCTCTTGTCTTTTTTTTCGGCTACGTCAAAAACGTCTGTTATTATGATTGTAATTCTGGATCTAATACAAGTTGCTGTGGATCTATCGTAAGCGACGAAGGTGAAATAATGTTACTACGTAACCTATGGTGAGTTACGTAGTAACATTATTTAATGTGTGCCATGGGTTTTATAGAGGGAGACAGTCTCCGCGAAGTCATGATAAACCACGATAATCAAAAACCAAATCCCAGCGTAAAATAGCAGCTTAACACTGCCGTGTTTCGTATGGTGAGTGTAGAGAACCGGAGACTCTTTTACTGGAAAAGAGGCATTTCATCTTAGTCCTCGCGGGTGACAACGCATCTGCATTTTGATTCTTTATTGAGGATAGATGTGGATGTCTATGGGTCACAGTAACCACTTACCATCAGGTGGACTGTGTGCTCATTTGTCACCCTATCCTATATAAAAAAAAATTGAATTGTGTTTATTGCAATTTTAAGCGCTGATTAACCACGTGCCACATGCTCGACGGTGACGGAGAACATGTAGGAAGGATACCGTCATTTTAAGGAATAAAACATAACGAGGACTTTTTAAGTCCGTAAACCCTGAACATTATGACAGAATAATTGCTCCGTAACCCTCCCAGTGACCTCACAGGCACGAGAACTATGCCCAGCTATGTGACGTATATAGGCTGTATCTGTATTCTGTGGCCTTCTGTGTTTAAACTTGCTCCAAAATCTGTGAAATTCCTCAATGTATTGCATATCAAAATCCTAATTGCAAGATACCTGATCCGCAACACGGAAAGCTGTCGCTTTTCTTGGTTTATTTTAGACGTGTTGACAAACTGCACTGTGCTATTTTAGTTCCGAGACATTAACTTCTCGGTGCAAGATGATTTGAGGCGAACACCCACGAGTGATGCCCAACTAAATATAACTTGATAAATATTATTGAACAAAATGCGTTATACGCTTTTCGGTTTGTAAACAAAGATATATTTTTAATTTTTAAAGTTCGACTTTGTAGTACAACTCCAAACGATGACAGAGTAATTAAGTATTTTATAGCTGTGTTTATTTCCTTGAACCTTGACTATCGTAATGTTGAATAATCTTTGTTCTTCGTATATTCTGTATTTTGACTGCCTTGTTGGTCTAGTGGTCGTCAATGTAGCTGCTGATCATGATCATGATCCCGGGTTCGAATCCTAGGTCAGGCCAAAAATTCAGTTGAGTTTTTTTTGTTAAATAATTCTCAGTAGCAACCCGTAGTCAGAAAGTTGGTGTCGTTTCAGCCACGTACCTCGAAAGCATGTGAGTATAGCCGTTGGTCTTGCGCCTGATCTCTCTCCGCTTATGTCGGATTGCCGTCACATCGGACTATGAGAGTGAGGGAATAGAGAGTGCACTAGTGCTTTCGTATACATTCGGGCACTATAATCCTGTCCTGCATAGACGGCTAGTCTATGTTTTTTTTTATAGAATAAGAGCACACAGTCCACCTGATGGTAAATGGTTACTGTGGCCCATAGACATCTACATCTATCTTCGTTTGCGAATTAAAATGCAGATGCGTTGTCAGCCGTGAGGACTAAGATAGAATGCCTCTTTTCCAGTAAAATGGGTCTCTCTACACTCACCATACGAAACACAGCAGTATTAAGCTGCTATTTTACGTTGTTATTCTGTGAGAGCGTGGTCCTTCCCCGGTAGAGCCGACCCATTCGTAGTACAACTATACTATTAATATAACTGCAGCATGGCTCTACCACGTGTAGAGACGGACCGCCGTAACCGGAATTCCGACTGGAGGACATTATTATTATATAAGCAGATCAGGGACTCATTTGCCGCCGTAGATCTTGGTTAGGCTTTTAGCAGGAGCCAATAATGGGATAGAAAAATGCCCGAAATTGCTGGCAGTCCCTCGTAGATAAAACGCAGATAGGAAATGGGAATTAGCAGCAGAGATGTGGGAAGGTCTTGTACTGCATTCGCCAATCTGCCTGCCAAGCGTGGTAATTATGGCATTTCCCATCTGAAATGGGAGATTCCAGTTTAGTTAGCTAGTTATATAATAAAATTTGGACGACCAAGATTTGCTTAATGTTAGAAAAAAAATTATAATTTTATTAGGGATAGCAACATCTAGATAAATTTGAAAAGTAAACCATTATCTGAATACAACATTTTATCCAAATCGTTAGAACTGTTTCCAAGAAAATAATTACATACCTAATATATTATAACACAGCCCTGTAGTAGCAAAAAATAAATCATGAGATGGGCAGAAGCATCTTTTTGATAACAATTCAAAATATAAAATCTGCGATTGCCAAGGCCGCTGCCTTGCTTAAAAAAGGTTTGGCACCTCTGACAAATATCTCTTCTACGATGCAATTTAAGGGGAGGGGGGGGGCGTATGTGTTCAGCTTTGGGCTTTTGATAGGCTATGATGGTTAAAAGCCGAATTGCGTTTACATCTATGTTTAGCTAGCTATTAACGAGGACCAGCCGATTGCGGATGGTAACCACTTATTAAATCGGCCCGTTAAAAATATTAAAGGACTGTTTTATTAAAACAACTGTATTTTTTAGGGTTTCGTACCCCATTAGGTTAATAGGTAGACAGCTCAAATTTTCACAGAATATGTATTTCTGTTGCTGGGCTCCCCTACTAGAAACGTGGTACGGAACCCTTCATGCGTGAGTCCGACTCGCACTTACTGGTTATTAATTATTGTTGTATTATATTCTATGAATACCTTTTATCTGATGATTGAAAAATCGGCCTTTATTCGTGGCTGAAACTAGTTGTGGCCGGTAGCTTTCGAGTGAAACTCAGCAGTACTTTGCAAAAATAGGAAACGCTTATCAATTAATATTTTTATATAATAAGTAGGTATGACAAACGAGCACACAGTCCATTTGATGGTAAGTGGATGCTGTGGCCCATAGACATCTACATTTGTCCTCGATTAAGAATCAAAATGCAGATGTGTTATAACCAGTTGTGTATCGCCAGCAACGCAAAGTCAAGAATTTGCATTTAGAAAAACCCAAAACTTTTTAGGTGCTCTAAAATTTTCTCCGCAACGAACTGTTGAAATTTGCGTTGCCAGCAAAACGTATCGCTAATAGCAACGCAGTGACGATAATAGATATACAATAAATATTTATAGCAAGGAACGAACCTATGCCCATCACTCGGTGCAAGATGATTTGAGGCGAACACCCACGAGTGATGCCCAACAAAATATAACTTGACAAATATTACTAAATAAAATGCGAGATACGCTTTTCTATAGTGATTTCTTATATTTACGCGAACACTACACATTTAAATGAAACTAATTTTATGGTTTATTTTACATGGTCACGGGGGGGACTGACTGTCCCCCCCGTGACCATGGGTGCTGTAAAGTGCTTGAAACGTCGGGAATGTAAAATAAGTTAATATACGCGATAAAATCCGTAAAATTAGTTTCATTTAAATACGCTTTTCTAGTTTGTAAACAAAGATATATTTTTGGATGACAGAGTAATTAGGTATTTCATATTCGTAATGTTGAATGATCTTCGTTCTTCGTATATTATGTATTTTGACTGCCTTATTGATCTAGTGGTCATCAATGTAGCTGCTGATCATGATCATGAGGTCCCGGGTTTAAATTCCGGGTCACAGGCCACAATTGCATGCTTAAAGTTAAGTAATAAAGTCCAATATGTAAAAAAAATATAACCAGATCTCGTTGAAACTTCAGAGAGTCGGAGTGGCTGTTCGGCACACCAGCGGGAAGAAGACAACTGCAGGACTCCGCTAGGTTTGGACGCTTGGTGGTAGCAGTGTTGAGAAGAGGTCACCTGTTCCAGAGCCTCGACGCCGTGAAGGAAGAATTGGCACATTCAGCGAAAATGCTTGCCCCGTACGGATTCTCTGGTCAGGTGAGATAGCAGTAACTTGAGATTGATTTGTCAGAGCAGCCTGCAAGCAGTTTACTGGTAAGAAAGAAACTTTAATCTTAGCTACAAAACAGTTCACATTACGTGGTAGAGCCACGCTGAAGTCATGTTGTAGGGTCACGAATGGGTCGGCTCGACCGGGGAAGGATCACGCTTTCACAAAATACCAGCTTAATATAGTAGCTTAATGTTGCTGTGTTTCGTGTGATGAGTGTAGAGAACCTGAGACACTTTTTATTGGAAACGAGGCATTCCATATTAGTCCTCAGGGGTGACAATGCATCTGCATTTTAATTCTTAATCAACGACCGATGTAACAACTCTGTAACAGAGTTCATTGTAAGACATGTTGACAGTAATAATAAATGTATTGGAATATTCTTGGACCTCGCAAAGGCGTTCGATACTGTCTATGTGCCGATACTGTTAGCTAAGATGGAAAAACTAGATATCAGGGGTACATCTCTGAAGTTGTTTATAAGTTACCTATCAAATAGAACTCAACTTGTAAGAATTGGAAGCCTAACAAGTGAAAAAACTAATATTAATTATGGTGTACCTCAAGGTAGCATACTTGGCCCTACCTTGTTCCTAATATATGAATGATCTATGTGGACTTAAAATGCGCGGTTGTAAAATTGTTGGCTATGCTGATGATACTGTTCTACTGTTTCATGCACCCTCCTGGCATGAAAGCATTGATTTAGCTCAGATAGGTCTCGAAGAAGTTATGTCATGGTTGAGAAAGAATTTGCTAACCTTGAACATTGATAAGACGAAGTATCTTACTTTTATGAAATCGTCAGTAGGTCAAAATGAACTTGACTCTTATTGTCTTAAAGCACATATATGTGGTAACTCTTCATCACTTTTATGTAATTGTCAGACCATAGAGAGAGTGAAATCCATTAGATACTTAGGTGTTACTGTTGATTACCTCTTAAACTGGCAAGAGCATATAATTAAATTAAAAAGTAACATTAGAAAACTAATACCAGTGTTTAAACGTTTAAGATATATTCCAATTGAACTACTCAAAACCATATATAATGCTCTCTGTATTACTGCTTGGGGAGGTACTTACAAAACTTATATCTTGCGCATTGAAAGATCTCAAAGAGCTGTGCTGAAAGTTATGCTTTCTAAGCCTTTTAAGTTTCCCACAAGCAAGTTGTTCTCGGAAGTAAATGTGCTTACAGTCCGACAGCTATTTATTTTAAAATCTGTTCTTAAAACACATAAGAATTATAATTGTAACTTAAATTTATTTCAACAGTTAAGAAGAAAAGATCGAATTATACTACCAGACAAATTTCACTCGTCTTATGCTCAAAGACAAATAAACTTTTTGGGTCCTTACCTTTATAAAAAAATTAGCAATATTATAACGATATATACGCTAACGCGTTTTAAATGTAAGCAAGCTTTAACTAAGTTTTTAATGTCTTATGAGGAAACTGAAAAATTATTAAATATAGATAGGTAACGCAAACTCTTAAGGAAATATCACACACTCACACTTTCTTTCTCACACGCACATACACATACACACATACACACACACACACACACACACACACACACACACACACACACACTCACAAACACACACACTTATTTACTACACACTCGCATCTACCTATTAGTTTTACACATAGTTTAAGCTTATAATATTGGTTAGGATTAATAAATTATTACATACTATAAAACATTTTACTTATTATCCTTTTGTTTTTTATTATTATTATTATTATTTTTTTAAGGAAATGTAATATTATTTGAGTCACAACCCACTAGTTGTAACAATTATTTTTATGTGGAATCTAGAATAAGTTCTTGTAAGAGTTTGCTATAATATCAATAAGTGTGTGATATATTTATAACATGTCGCTTCTGCCTTGATCTTGTACCACACAACTAATCTTTTAGTACATATAGCCAATGTTATTGAATCATTTGTCGGATTTTTTACTTAACTAATTGTTTTACGTCTACCCACTTTACATCGTTTATGAATCGTCGTATAAAATGTGTTTTTATGATTCTGTTATTCTGTTTCGAATGTATTAAGGGGAGAGCTTAGCAGCTGTAACACAGGTCTGTGACCTAGCACAGTTGCTAAAGATACCATAATTATAGTATTGAATTGGATTAAGTCTAAATTATATAAATTTTATAAGGTTTTGTTTTATGTAAAGTGTTTTTGGGATCAATAAATTATTATTATTATTATTATAGATGTCTATGTGCCAGCATCTACATATCATCAGGTGGACTGTGTGCTCGTTTGTTACCCTTTCTTAAGGTATGCTGCTAGATAAAGATATACCTAGTCAGGTCATAAGTATTGTCACACAGTAAAAACTTTTTTTTTGGAATGCTGGCCACAAAAGAAGTTTATTGAATTCGAATTACGAATTGTTCATGAAAATAAAACTGTATACTTTTTAGAATTTCACTCATTTTTAAATATGGACTGGACGCTTAAAGAAGACCGTGTTGCAGTTATTGCGTTGCATTCAAATTTTTGACATACTGAAAAATTTGAATATAACCAAAAGATTCGTTTATCGTACCATCAAACGATACAATGAAGACTCTAGTGTAGATGACAGGTAAAGAAGTGGTCGCCCTCGGTCTGTTAGGACTCCAGCAGTGATAAAAGCTGTGAAGGCGCGAATTCAAAGAAATCCCAAACGTAAGCAGAAACTGTTGGCCCTTCAGATGGGGTTAAGCAGAACCACGGTGAAAAGGGTGTTAAATGAAGACTTAGGGCTTCGGGCATATCGAAGAAATACAGGACATCGTTTGAATGCTCGTCTAACGGACCTGAGACTGAAGAGATGCCGCGCTTTGTTGAAGCGGTACGCGGGAAAAAAATATCGGGAAATTCTTTTTTCGGATGAAAAAATTTTTACCGTAGAAGAGAGCTACAACAAACAAAATGATAAGTTGTACGCACACAGTAGTGAAGAAGCGAGCAACCGTATTCCGCGTGTCCAACGAGGTCATTTTCCATCCTCGCTCATGGTATGGTTGGGAATTTCTTATTGGGGCATAATAATAATAGAGATACATTTTTGTGAGAAAGGTGTAAAAACGAATGCAGTTGTGTATCAAAATACAGTCCTAACGAACCTTGTGGAACCTGTTTCTCATACCATGTTCAAAACAGGCACTGGGTATTCAAACAAGATTCGGCGCCAGCTCATAGAGCGAAGAGCACACAAGACTGGCTGGCGGCGCGTGAAATCGACTTCATCCGGCACGAAGACTGGCCCTCCTCCAGTCCAGATTTGAATCTGTTAGATTACAAGATATGGCAACACTTGGAGGAAAAGGCGTGCTCAAAGCCTCATCCCAATTTGGAGTCACTCAAGACATCCTTGATTAAGGCAGCCGCCGATATTGACATGGACCTCGTTCGTGCTGCGATAGACGACTGGCCGCGCAGATTGAAGGCCTGTATTCAAAATCACGGAGGTCATTTTGAATAAACTTTAGTGTCATAAAAATCTATGTTTTGTTAAGTTCATTTTGGTATATAAATGGTTACATAATGAATAAACTTATTTCAATTATTTTATATTAAACATGTGACAGAATTTATGACCTGACTAGGTATGTTGCTAGATTTTGGTTTGTTTCAAAAATGTACGTGAGGGATTCTTGCTTTAAATAATTACTTGGGTGTGTATATGGCTCTGTAACACTTATGTCTGAACAACACTGAATGATGAGTTGTTGTCAAGATCAAGCGCGCGATTCATTGTTTGTTTACATTATAATCTTATAATTATTTAGTAACTTTTGTTAGTCTTTTTATGTGATTTGGATGAAGAGCCTGGCCCTTCGCATCAAAGGTTTTGTAGTCCGGCTTCGAACTGTACTTCGGCGTTGAGCGACTCTAGGGAGAGAATAGTGGCCGAAATGGAGCGCATGTTTGATAGCGATGACTCTGATAAAGATCCCACTTACAACCCGGATCCAGGCTCTTTAATACAACCAGAGGATTTATTTGGAGATTAATGGGCGAATAACGAGGATGAGAACTTAGAAAATGTTGTGCGATTCTATGGAGACGATCATGACGAAGCAGTTCAACCTAACGACGGCGACTTTATGATCGCACAGGTGTTGCCAACATCTGATGCATAGCAAGTCGTATTATCTCTTTGGGGAATCTTATTAAAAGGAGTATTCGATGCTGCTCGGAAAAGAAAACGTTGGATGAAACCAGAACTAGAAAATTGGAAAGTAAATATTGTGAAGAGACGATCTGAAAGTTTACCTTATTCTATGAAAAAAAAAAGATGGAGTGCTAAAACACCAAAAGAGGTTGACTGTGAGAAATGTTTCTATAAATGTAGTATGATCTCTCCAGATGAAATAAATAATTTATGTGGTCACAACTGTAGTTTGAGGTATACCGAGCAAAAGAATTTCATTCTCGGTAATGTGAAAGTAGATACTCCGAAGAGAGCTCTTGCTTTTCGTGGACCAAAGAAACAGCATCATTTCACAAAAAGATGTTTCTTTTTAGTGTCCCGTACCTCAAAAGGAAAAAAACGGAACCCTTATAGGATCACTTTGTTGTCCGTCTGTCTGTCTGTCAACACCCTTTTTCTCAGGAACGAAATTCATATCAAATACTCAATTCTACTGTCCCTTGGAGCTGTGAAAAATTCAAACTTCTAAGTCAACGCAATCAAAAGATACAACCGTTTATGCCGCAAATTTTCGACATTCGCAAGTGAATCAAAACCTACAAGGTACTTCCCGTGAACTCAGAATCTTAAAATTTGGTACAAAGCAACGTATTATAGGATTATACACAACGTATTATACACAGATAAAGGAAAAATTGCGAAAAGCATAAATTTTTAGTTACATTATATAATAAAAATATTTTTAATAATTTTAAACTTACATACCTACGGATTTCTTCGGAACCCTCACTGCGCAAGTCCGACTCGAACTTGGTCGGTTTTTTTCACAACGGAGCGAAGAAGCAGGTATGTCAGAAGTTTTTTTTGTTACACGTTAGCTATTTCTCCGACTGTTGTTAATGATGCTATTCGAAAATTCGGAATGATATGGGGCTGTACAAGGATATTGACAAGAGAGGTAAACATGAACTCCCAATAAGACTAATGAAGCTGATGTGAACTTTATGAAAAAACACATAGAGTCCTTCCCTGTCATGGAACCACGCTACATAAGACAAACTTCGAAGCGTCGTTCGTTATCTCGTTATCCATCACGAAAATGCATCAACTTTATAAAGATAAGTGCACTGAAAATAATATGATTCCAGTATCTGAAATAACGTACAGAAGAATATTTTGTACCCATTACAATTGTAGTTTTTTTTTGTTCCAAAAAAGGACCTATGTTTGATATGCTCCAATTACAACAAAACTAGTGTTGGGAGGTGAATACGAGGATCATTTAGCAAGAAAAGAGTCCTGCGATTCGGAAAAAGCGGAGGACAAAGAAAGAGCAGAGAAAGATAAAGAGTTTTGCTGTGTAACATTTGTCTGTATTCTGATACGTGTGGAGGACAACAATATGTTGCTGCATTACTTATATTTGCAGTCCAAAACAATTCTCACTTACGAAAAATTCAATACAAGTTTCTTGAATCAGGACACAGCTACATGGAGGTGGACAGCATGCCTGAATATTTATGAATTTTCAAACGAGCACGATCGAAAAAGAAGCATTAACTTATGAAGGTAATTCGTTCATTAAAACGCCCTACAAAGCTAAGGAATTTAAATACAACGAATTTTATGATTTAAAAAAAAATGCTGTTGAAACTGTTTTCAATCGTTCAAAAGATAATAATGGAAATCAAGTGAAGTGGCTCAAAATAAAAAGAATACGATATCTTCAAGAAGCGAGTTACAACATTTATTTTAATTATGGCATGTCTGAAACGTTCTTATACATCGATGTCTCAAAGAATACGGAACCTTCTCAACGTACTATTGTCTTAAAACACCTTTACTTCAACCTTTTACCCATAAGTGAAGCTAAAAAGAGAGATCTTCTCAGTTTATGTACTAAAAAAATAATTCTTAAGGAATACCATGGTTGGTAATCATCCCAACTGCAACCAATCAAGCAGATCGTTTACCTGAACCTTCGATTAACGAAGAGTCATCAGAAGATTAAGATATTTAATGAAATTAAAAGCCGTTTACCGAAAAGGATTCGTCTTAATTAAAATACTTTTTTATTGTTCTTTATTAGTGATTGAAGATTGCCATAATTATGTGTTAAGGAATAAAATTGATTGATTATTATTATTAAATTTATTATCCTTTCATAAATGAACTATGTAAAAATTAATTGCTTTTTATTTAATTGATCACTTTTGTATGAAGTTTATAGTACTTAATAAGCGACATAATTACACTAAAATTCTACAGGCAAAACAAGTTACAAGTTAAAATGTATCAAAAATTTCATTATTTAAGCGAATTTTGTAAAAAAAGTATTTTTTCTCAAGTAATTGATGTAAAATACAATAAGCCATTATACAAAACTGAAACGAGCCTTTGAAATCATTGAATTCAGGAGATATTCATGTTTCTTAAATACAGTTATAACATATTAAATGGTCCCCTTTCGACCTAAATTTAATTTTATACAGTTTTACTAATACCAAATATTATATAAGAGTAAATCTTAAAAGAAGGATAATTAGTGCAAAATTTTGCTTTAGTAATTTTTTTTATTAATGAGTTTGAAATAGATCATATTAAAACATAAACATTGAAAAGTCATTTACTCAAATTTACACTAACTGCACTTTTATTACTTTTGACTCGTAAGCAGACGATATTAAATTTTGTTATTTATTCTCTCCAACTCTAGATACCCTTCCTGTCGCTAGGCAGTGACGTAGGAAAACGCGTGAAAGTGTATGAGGGCTCGTCCAAAGTGTCGGGTGACTTCGTGGTGGAAGATGTGGACGTAGAAGGCTCCACGCACAGACGGCTCGTGTTCCTCGACAATCAGTTCTTAGTGCAGTCCGAGGCTAAGCTGAAGACTAGTGAGTGTATTAATTTTATCTTTTTAAGATTTTTTTTTATTAAACTGAAGTGACAAATGAACTAAAAGTCAACCTGATGGTAAGTGCTACTGCAGTCCGTGGGTACCTGTAGCCAATTTCAAAAAAAGAAGGCTTCAGATGCGTTAAAATATCTGAGGCCTAAGATGGAATTCCTCAAGGCTTGTGATTACACTGGTTCTTTTTAGTCTTCGCATCGGAACCCAGCAGTACGCGTACTACTGTTTGACGGCAGAAATAGGAAAGAGGATGGTACTAACCCGGACGGACTGAAAAGAAACTCTATCATCTAGCAATTCGTCGTCTTTTTTCTTTATGGATAACAAAATTAAATTGTACTTTTTATATTCTCATTTCAGTTAAAAAGAAGAACAAAACAAAAACAGTAATCGACTTTGGCTACATATCCATGTACCATTCGTTCATGTGTGTTTGCGTTCAGCTCGGAAACACCGATACTGCGAAGGTTGCTGTCCTGGGTCTCGGTGGTGGTAGTCTCTGCATGTTCCTCAAGAAATGCTTCGACAAGGTTCAGGTCACGGCCGTAGACTTGGACCCCGCCATGCTGGACGTCGCCAAGAAACACTTCGAGTTGGAGACCGACGAGAGACTACAAGTTCAGATTAAAGACGGCGTAGACTTTTTGAAGGATGAGGCTAAGAGTGGTGAGTCTATTGAAATTATTTATAATAGTCGAATTAACTGTTGCGTTACTGTGTTTGCGCTTAAGTCAAATAAAGTACACATATGAGCTGTTAAAATTAAAACTATTATTATTTTATTAATTGTTATTATGTAATTTATTGTACACCAGAAACACAAAGATAACAGATTATGGGGATAAAACTAAGGAGAAAGGCGGTCTTATTGCTAAAAAACGATCTCTTTCTTCCAGGCACATTCAGGGGGAGAAAATTGTACTTTTAAACAGTGGGAGGTGGTGTATATTAATAAACTTACATACTAATACCTAAATAAACTAAACCATTGTATTATATTATAATAACAAAATAATACACTAATATATACAACATAATTTATATGATAGACATACATAAGATTAAATAGGCAAATATGCATAAAATTATATAAGTAAATGACAAGTGATATGTAATGATTTTTGACGTCAGACAAACTTATCCAGTGTTTTACTATTCTATCCCCGGTGTTCTTTTCTGCCGACATTCATTGCCCCGTAGTCATTGCCTAATTTTAAGAAAGTTCATTCTAGTTTTTAATAATAAATTTAAATAATTAATATTTTTATATTGAAGTCAAAATGTTTTAAAGTACTTTAAGTAGATGAAAAAAAAAATGATTTGCCTAGATTTGTTATCTGTTCCTAACAGTACTCGACAATGAGGGCATCAACGCCTTTTTCTATCACCAGGGTCGCCACATAGGAATCAGGTTAAATATTTGACAGATTTCACACCCGGGGAAATTAATTTGTTACAAGTTTCTTTCTAAGGTCTTCTCCAGGTCCTCCAAAAAAGTCATGTTCAAGTCGAGGTCAGAGCACATCGGCAGAATTGGCGAGGAGCTAGTTCGCCTTCCTTCGGGAACCCGTGCATTCTGGTCTCTTGACAACGGAACTTTTGTCAGCCATCTCTTCCATCTCTGCACAGAGAAGACGACTCACTGGCTCATTCCGCAAAGGAGAAGTCAATCTCTTAAGCTCTCTCTTTGTGTCCAATTCGACTCTCAGTGACGGGGGAACACACCGCCGACCATCCCGCGGTGTGAGTGCTCCATGCCGAATGTGCGGTTTACACAGCGCTAGAATCGCAAAGCACTCATCTCCCTGGACGTCAACAAGTCGAGTGGGCCTGATGGAGTCCTTCCCATTGTCCTGAAGACTTGTGCTCCGGAAGTGGTACCGGTTTTAACGCGTCTTTTCGGTACTCCTACTCAGTTTTAGTCCACCCGATCCCTAAAAAAGGCGACCGCTCAGACCGTCCAACTACAGGCCTATCGCCAACACCTCCTTGTCCTCCAAAATAATGGAATCCATTATAAGCTGCCAGCTTATGGGGTACCTTGAGGATCACCAGCTGATTATTGACCGCCAATACGGTTTTCATCGGGGTCGATCAGCTGGCGATCTTCTGGTCTACCTGACGCATAGATGGGCGGAGGCAGTAGAGTCCTAGGGAAGGTATTTGCCGTTAGTTTGAACATAGCGAAGGCCTTTGATCGGATTTGACACAAAACTAAGCTTTCTACCTATGGGCTTGCCGAGAAATTGTGCAATTGGATCACCAGTTTCCTGACTGATCAGAGCATCGAAGTCGTAGTAAACGGTGCATGCTCTGATTACAAGCCTATTAACGCTGGTGTGCCACAAGGCTGCATGCTATCACCAACGCTGTTTCTTCTGCATATCGATGATATGTTGCAAACCGGTACCATTCATTGATTTGCGGATAACAGCACTGGTAGTGCTTTATACGCCCGCCGTACCAATATTGATCGGGAAAACGTCGCCGAGTACCGGAATAAACTTGTGTCTGAAGTCGACACTTTGGTGTACAAAGTATTGGATTGGGGGCGACTAAATTTAGTCCAGTTTAATCCCCAGAAGACACAAGTTTGCGTGTTTACCACTAAAGAGAACCCCTTTGCCGTATCTCCTCAGTTTCAAGGCAGTCCCCTAGATGCTACAGCTAGCATCGAAATCCTCGGCGTCGACATATCGAATAATGTGTAGTTTCGTGGTCACTTGGAAGAGAAGGCCAAATTGGTCTCTAAAAAGATTGACGCACTCAGCAGAACGGGACATTATTTCATGTGGGGCACACCGCTCACAACTTTATAAGGCGCAAATTCGGTCTCACATGGAATGAGAGACCGAATTTGCGCTGGGGCTGGCGCTCATCTCTGGGCTGGGGCTCCCCAGTGCCAGCTCCTTCCATTTGACCGCATCCAGCGCAGAGCGGCTCGAATCGTCGACGACCGAGTCTTTCTGATCAGCGCGATGCACTGGCGCTGCGAAAGGATGTTGAGTCCCTTTGCATTTTCTATCGCATGTACCACGGGAAGTGCTCTGAGGAATTGTTCGGATTAATTCCAGCCGCCAAATTTCACCAACGCACATCGCCACAAAACTCACGATACTATCCACACCATCTGGATGCTTGAAGGTCAACCACTGTGCGTTTTACTAGGAGTTTTCTTCCTCGTACAACCTCTCTGTGAAATTGTTTACCACCGGCGATTTTTTCGGACCGATACGACTTAGGACCTTCAAAAAAAGAGTTTAATCTTTTCTGGGCGGCGGTAGTCACTTATCATCAGGTGAGCCGCATGCTATTTTGCCCCTCTTCTATAAAAATATTATTTATATTTTCTAAGAATTCGATTAGAAAGGGATAAACTAAACTACGAAAATTAATAGCAGACTTAAAAAAAGTTAAATATGTGTAAAAAATTAAAAAATACAGCACTGAAACATTCTTTTGTGTATATACATTATACATACACTAGAAACCGAAATACTTATAATTAAATCGCAACTTGTCAATGATGATGATACTCTTACTATCTGCGTAACAAGTAAGTTAGTCCCAACTAGCGACATCTGGTGAACGTAATATTTTTAGCCCTTATTGATTGTCAATAGTTTCAGATTAGTCATTTACTTTTCATTAATTTTTTTTACATTTTTTTTTCTTAAACACGTCCATCCACATTGTATCTGAAATAAACTAACCTTCTGTTATGAAATTCGGTGTTTCGAACAAGCAAACAGTTCACCTGATGCTAAGCACTCACTGAAGCTTATATGAACCTGTTCCCACCATTAAGAATTATGGTAGACTTATGTTGTTATATCTGGAGATTAAATATGCAACATTACCAATTATCTAGGTCTTGATTCTCGTCAATGAGGGCTGATTATCTACCACTCACAAGATGTCGCTTGTTGCAACTCAGGTGAAATTTTTTGCAACAATATAATTTAATGGAGAAGTTAGTTTTAAATAACTTTTATCAGTTTATAAAGTATTATAGACAATACCTCAGTGGTTTGCTCTTTAATTTTTTGCAAATTAGTAATTAGTAGTTTGGTTTATTGATCTGCCGACTTCCAAAAAGGAGACGGTACTAGATTCGACTGTTTTTTTTTCTTATTTTTTTAAGGGTGTTACCTCATAAATTTTTACTGGATGAACCGATTTCGATGATTCTTTTTTTATTTGAAAGCTGATACTTCTCGTGTGGTCCCATATGAATTTGATCAAGGTCAGACCAATAGTTATTGAGTTATTCTTAATAATTTATATTGAAGTCGGCTTAACAAAATTTTTAATTTTAAATTATTTCTAATCTAATTAATATGAAATTTAAGTGATATTATAGAAATAAACATTAACTCTTACATTTTTCAAACAAATTAACTTCCCCGCTATGAAATCTATCAAATATTTCACCACCAAAGTGGCGACGCCATGGTGGCAGAAAATGTTGTGGATATACATTGTTATTCGAATCGTATCAAATTTTGCTCTATTAATTTTTATAATATGTATTCTGTGATATGATATGAGATACTACAGTGTCTTTTCCTTTTCGATGTCATTCCCCATATTCTTTTTAAATCTTACCTCCAGGTTAAAACATTTTTAAAATCACTCGGATAAAAGTCCTATGTTTTGTAATCAGTCTTTGCTTTAATCTCCAGGTCATCAGTATGATGCGGTGATGTTCGATATGGACAGTAAGGACCGAACGCTGGGACTGTCATGTCCTCCGCGGCAGTTCCTGGACGAGGATGTGCTAGCTGATGTCAAAACTATACTTAGTAATGATGGTACTGTCTTTTCTACTTACATGTTTTTTTAACTATTTTAATCCAGCATTTGACTACTATCCCATCTGATGGTAAGTGTTGATGAGGCCAAAGGTGGTAAAGCCCACTGACTTAACAAAAGCCTATTCATTCTTGCCTTGAATACTCGAACATTGTAATTTTATATGTGATAGAGTCATGCTGCAGCTATATTAGTAGTGTAGTTGTAGCACGAATGGGTCAGCTCGATCGGGGGAGGACCACGCTCTCACAGAATACCAGCGTAAAATGCCAGCTTGACACTGCTGTGTTTCGTATGGTGAGTGTAGAGAACCGGAGACCCTTTTTACTGGAAAAGAGGCATTCCATCTTAGTCCTCACGGGTGACAACGCATCTGCATTTTGATTCGTAATCGAGAATAGATGTAGAGATATCTTTGGGCTACAGCAACCTTATACCATCAGGTGGACTTTGTGCTTGTTTGTCTTTCTTTCTTTCTTTTTTTTTAAAAAGTTACCCCCACACTAGGATTTTCTCCTGTATCGTGGAGGCAGTTTACAAACATAAATTGCACAAGGACAAACATCCAGACCCGGAACATTTATTTGTAGACCATACAAATACTTGTTCCGTGTGGGATTCGAACCCGCAGCCCCCAGCGCTGGAACTCATTGCTAAGCCATTGCGCCACGGAGCCGTCAGTTTGTCACCCTATCCTATAAAAAAATCGTATGGAAAGACAGATGCTGGCAACTTATTCCACTCCTTTGCTGTTCGTATGATTAACAATGAAGCAAATTAACAATGAAGCCACTGCGCCACGGAGCCGTCGCTCGGAACAAGTATTTGTATGGCCTACAAATAATTGTTCCGGGTCTAGAATCTGGATGTATGTCCTTGTGCAATTTATGTTTGTAAACTGCCTCCACGACACAGGAGAAAATCCTAGTGTGGGGGTGACGTTTTTAAAAGAGAAAATGTTTGGTTCGTATGCGTGGTAAGTCGACAACGAAAGAGTGGTGACTAGCCGAGCGTCAGGCGGCGCTACTTAGGAATGATTTGAAATATTTGAGAAATTCATGGCGGGGGAAGTTAATTTGTTAGAAAAATATAAGATTAAAGGTAATCTAATCTTTTTTTCAGATAATACACGCTGGATTTCCGTCGTCGGTCTTATACGCAAAGTTGTTTTACCAAGATATCTATTGGAAACCATAACATATTTTTAGCATATCCCGCAATCGCATCTAACGACATTCATGGGACGAAATGGAGCGATGGATTCTTTTAGGCCTCTACCACACTGTACCATAATATATATCGTTACAGGCTATCAAAAGTCCACTACTGACCATTGGCCTCCCCCCATAGATTGTCTCATAGGGGGACATTTGCCAAAGTTGCCACGTTAGGCAGGCGGATTGGCAACTGCCTTTTTTTTTAGTTATTAGGAAGACTGCTGCTCACCTCCTGGTTTGTTTCCCTTTGTCGCCTCTTACGACACCCACGGGACGTTCTTGGGGTAATATGGGGTAATAGATATGCTTACACCGCCACTACACGGTTATATAATATGAAATAATATCAAATATTAAAGATTAAAATACCACATAATAATGTCAATATACATTTCCAGGCCACTTCATCCTCAACTTGGTATGTCGAGACACAAAATTACAAGAATCTATATTAGAAACCCTAAAGCGACATTTCAAGCATTTAATATCTGTGAAACTTTATGAGGAAGTGAATGAAATCGTATTTGCAACGAATAGCAACAAATTATATACAATGGACAATCTTGAGGCAGCAGTTAAGAGTTTGAATGGAATAGCGAGACAGAAGAACCTTGTGAAAATCAAATGTGTAGATTTAAAAGACTTTTTGCAGTCAGTGACTATCATTTCATAGTAGGTTATACTCGTAGTGATTGTTGTTGTGTGAAGTGTATGTGTGTAATGAAATAATATTTCCAATACAAACAATATATTTTGTTATTGTTACATTCTTGTCTGTGTTATCATTATCATCATTACCACCCCACACAAGTCCACTGGTTAATACCTTGTTCAAGGAATACCACAAACATGGTCCTGAGTCACCTGCATATATCAATTTCCTGCATGACTTATCAGGTCGTCACTAAATTTAGTTGGGGGCCGCTCTACACTTCACTTACCGGTATGAGGTTACAACTCTAAGAGCCTTTCCTTCACATTGGGTGTCGGTTCTTGGAATTATATAACCGTCCCATTGCACGTCGGCTTACTGGTCCTGCACCTGTCTCATTTCAAATACTTCTACCATAAAACCTTCTCCATAGCTTGCTGGGCGACCTTGACCCAGATCCATATGTGGTCACTGGTAACATGAACTGTTTGTACATTCTTGTTTTCTAGTTTTGAGGATCACGTGACGAGTATTTCGCGGATGGTGCTCAACCAGGTAGGATCCGTCGATAGATCTTTTGTTCGAAATTGCTCTTATATTTGAGAGACTTTAGGCCAGGGAAATAATAATAATAATAATAATAAAAATTCTTTATTTTCTCCACAATCTAAAAACTAATATAGTTATGAACTGGGGTTAACACCAAGGAACAAAATTATTTAGATTGTGAAAGACTGGCGTCTGAGATAGGCTGAAAGCCTGTGTTTCAGAGCACCAGGTCTCTCCTCACAGGATGTAGGTCATATTGGTGCAGAATATGATGAAACTAGTAACAAAAAAAAAAAAAGAAAAAAAAGAAAAGAAGGAAATGTTTTGTGTATGTGTGTGTGTGTGTGTGTGTGTGTGTGTGTGTGTGTGTGTGTGTGTGTGTGTGTGTGTAAGAGGGTGCGTGTGCGCGTGAATGGCGTATGTGTGTGGGTGGGTGTGTGGTTGGGTGTGTGTGTGTGTTTGTGTGTGTGTTTGTGTCGGAGTGGGTGTGTTGGGTATGAATATATTATAGTATATTTTATTTATAGTATATTTCCTACCTGATAGGATGAAGGAGAGATTCGGTCTCCTCATAGTTCATCATCATTTTTCATCATCATTACAGCCCTTCACAAGTCCACTGCTGAACATAGGCCTCCCCCAAAGAATGCCACAAAGCACGGTCCTGAGCCACCTGCATCCATCGACTTCCTGCATATCTTACCAGGTCGTCACTCCATCTAGTGGGGGGACGCCCTACACTTCGCCTGCCGGTACGAGGCTGCCACTCGAGAACCTTTCTTCCCCATCGGTTGTCGGTTCTTCGAGCTATATGGCCGGCCCATTGCCACTTCAGCTTACTAATCCGTTGGGCTATGTCGGTCACTCTAGTTCTACTGCGGATATCCTCATTTCTGAGTTTATCACGCAGAGAAACTCCGAGCATAGCCCTCTCCATAGCTCGCTGAGCGACCTTGAGCTTCCTCATCCGGCCAGCAGTGAAGGACCACGTCTCAGTTCCGTATGTCATCACTGGCAACACGCACTGGGTGTACAGTCTCGTTTTCAAGTTTTGAGGTATACCTGACGAGAAGATGTGCCGTAATTTCCCGAACGCTGCCCAACCGAGTTGAATCCGTCGATTGAATAGTTCATAGTCTGCAAATAATTAGAGACTTTAGATTTGCATAACAGTTTTGTAAGAGGAAAGATGTTGAGCTCACGTTGTAGTCTATTGTAAAGGAAGGGGCCCAAGAAACAGAAAAATCGTTGTGAGGTCACGGTTTTGAACGAGGTTGAACGTACTACCAGGTGATTTCTCTGGGAAGACAGTAAAGAGGGATCATAGCTGCAACTACTATGTTGTTTGAGGACAATTAATAAAATAAAGAGTTGGCGCACGGAAAGAACCTCACAATACTGGTAAAGATCGAAGGTTGGTGATAACAGGGGCTTAAACGTACAGACTTTGAGGACCGCTCTTTGGGCTCTTTCCAACTTGATTAGTATTGACTTACTCGCGCCACCCCAGGTTGTTAAACAGTAAACTATAAGTGACTGACAAAGTGCTAAGTAGACTGATCTGACCAGACACGGATCTGCGACTTGGCGAAGATTTTTAAAAACAAACATGAGTTTTCGGAGTCTACAAGCGGTGAGGTTGATGTGGGGCTGGAAGGTCAGTTTACTGTCTATAATAATACCTAAATATTTTGTGGAATCCGAAGAGGTAAGAGGTAGACAGTTACATGAGAAGGAGGGGAGGTCAGAATGGGAATGAGCAATTAAGCGAAAATTGTCAAATGCATTGAGTGGAATGCTGTGAAGGGAAAAGGTGATATACTGAGTTTTTTTGGAATTGAGAGTGAGTAGATTTGTAAGGAGCCAGAGGGAGACTAAGTCTAAACCGGATTGGGCAAGTTGGAAGGTATCTTTCCAGGAGCAGGCTGAGAAAGTTAGCGCGGTATCGTCTGCAAAGGAGATAATCTTACAGCCAGGGATTTTGAGAGAGCAGAGGTCATTGATGTAGACCAAGAAAAGCGTAGGGCCAAGAATGCTTCCCTGGGGGACACCGTAATTCATGGATAGTTCAGAACTCACTTTTCCATTGATAATGACAGCCTGGTTACGGTTTGAAAAATAGCTTCGGAAGAGAGATAGTTGGGTACCTCTGACACCCATTGCCTCCAGCTTAGTCAGGAGAATGGGAATGGAAACCGTGTCAAACGCCTTGGCCAAGTCGAGGAAGACCGATAGGCATTTATTACCCTTGTCTAAGTTTCTGATCACATGATCAGTAAGAGAGTGAACCGCATCTGCTGTGGATCTGCCAGATCTAAAACCAAATTGTCCAGGGGACAATAAGTTCATTTTCTCTAGGAAATCGATTAACTGGTTATTGATCAGTCTCTCCAGTATCTTAGACAAGGCGGGTAAGACAGAAATGGGGCGGTAATTGTTGGGCTGGCTTCGATCCCCATTCTTGTGAATGGGGTGAACTAGGGCTTTCTTGAGGGCATCAGGGAAGCAACCTGATGAAAAACTCAGGTTGCATATATGACATATAGCAGGAACAAGTAAATCCTTTCCGTATTTAAGGATAGATGAGGGAATATTATCCCACCCGACCGCACAGTTTTCCTTGAGCGATGAGATGAGGGAGTCGACTTCGGATGGAGTGGTATTGAGGAGGACAAAGGTCTCATTTGAGCAAGATATTGGGAATTTTAGGGGGGAGGGAGTGGAGGCAAGAAGTATATCCTCAGCGAGAGATTTACCAATATTGGCAAAAAAAGCATTTGTACTATCTAGCGATTGGGAGGTAGTGGACGTAGAAGTGAGGAGGTCGTTGCAGTCGGAGCGCTGTTTGTTCATGTTCGTAACATCTCTGATAGCGTTCCATAATTTTTTGTTATTATTTCCAGCCTTATTTATCCGTTCTCTATTATATGCTATCCTAATCTTCCTAAGAAGGGAATTGCAGAAGTTACGGTAGCGACAGTAAGTTTTTCGAAGTATGTCATTTTGAGGGTCTTTTTTAAGTTTCTTATGCATGCCGTCTCTATTTCGAATACATCTTAATAACCCAGGAGTCATCCAAGGTTTGAGAAACCTTCGTCGGCTGGGCAAGAGCTTGGACTTGGAGTGTTGATTTATCGCAGCCTGAAGTTTACTAATAAACAGGTTAGTTGCTAGGTTTGGATCAGTGAGCTGGAGTACATCGGAGAAGTTTACTTTTTTTAAGGTGTGCATAAGGTTGGGGATGTCAATCTTTTTTGAGACTTTGGAAGATGCATGTGATATATTCTTCATATAGATGACGAGTAAGATAGCGTCGTGGTCCGTAACTGAGGATTGGATCACAAAACATTGGGCTGGAAAGGTGGTTTTTAAAAAGACATGGTCGAGACAGGCCAATTTACGAGTGGGAAGAGTATGGGCTGGCAAAAAGCCATTGTAGGCAAGCATATTCAAATACGCTTCAGTGTTTTGATCGGGATTGGAGTTAGGTATAATATTAATATTGATATCTCCTGCGATAATAATATTTTTAAATTTATTTAAAGAAGCTAGGGTCTGATAAAGGGAATTTATAAAGTTGAGGGGATTTCGAAATGCACATGGTCGATATATAGCTAAAATTACAGTTTGTTGTTGTATTTGAATAAGGAGTGAGCTGGCATCAACAATATTCGGGTTGGAAATAGAAACATTAGTGATTGAGTTATTGTAGTAGACGACGACGCCATCGTTCTGATTCACTGGGTTAGGTGAAGAGTGGGATATAAAACCAGGGAGAATGGGAATAGAAGGCTCGATGCCGAGCCAACATTCTGTCAATATTAAAACATCGAGATCAGTGTTGATATTATGTAACAGGGTAGAGAAATTATGTATGTTGGCCGATATACTGCAAATATTTTGGGCGAGGATTTTTAATGCTTTAGTACCCAGGTTATTTGCAGTGAGAGCGTTTCGAACTTCATGTGGATCACAAGAGGATGCACTACAAATAGTCACATTATCTATATTTTCAATTAGGTCGATATCGGATGTGAATTTTGGTATTAGGGGTAAAAAGTACCGGATTCAAAAATGGTGGCCACAATAGGGGTAGCCTCCAAGTGCAGGGTATATGGGAGAGGAGGAGGAACTGTGCGGCGATATTTTAGGGGGATGTCGGCCGAGACGATGGGACAACCAAAAAGAGATGTTAGGTTATTATGTGAAAAATAAAGTGTAAAGCTATATAACAAAACGGGCAGGAATAATACAACGGGGTAATTATGATGAGTTAATCGAGGGAGTTCAGAGTTAGCAGTAGTAAATTTAACAAAAGTAAATATTGGTAGGTATTTTTGTATTGTGTTTGTGTGGAGAAATATTTTTACGTAAAAGGTATTTATGTTAGTGTGTGAAATTTGATGTGGATGTGTGTGAAAGAAATTAAGTATGTACTTCGATTTTGAAATATGTAGACATATGTAGAAATATATCGTGTGTATATTTAAAATTATTTTGCGTTTTTGTATATGTGTGATGTTATTCATGACAACAGTAATTACTATGTTAATACATGCTTTATACTTAGATATTTTATAAGAAAAGTAGTGACAAAGAAAATCAACCTTATTACCAAAAACAAAAAAACAAAAAACAAAAAATAGACAAAAAGGATGCGAATTAACTAAGTTATTTACATAATATAGTCATTCCTTTTGCATAAGATTATTAACTTGGGATTCATTTTTAATAACTATAATGGGCGAGTTTTCTTTTTTTCTTATATATATTTTACCGTAGGCTGTCCAACAGAACTTGTAGTTCTTAGACTTGGCAAGATCGCGGGCTAGAAAATATAAGCGTGCTCCTCTTGCTGTCAGTTGTTCTGATACGTAAATGGGTTCATATTCATTTTTTGTAAAGCCTAAGTGTTTTGCGCACAGTTTTTCTTTGTGTCTTATATTATAGTTTTTAGCTAGCTTTAAAAACTCTGTTTTTTGCATAGTCGATGACATCTCCGTTATAACTTGACTTTTATTCTGGTCAGTTTTCCTATTTACTCTGTAAATGTCTTTAATATCCCTTTTTTCAATGTTACAGCCGATGTTATGGGATAAAGTTAAGAACAACTTTAATAGGTCTTCCTTGGACTCATTGGGCACTTTCGGAACGTTTTTTATTTCAATATTGACCTTACGGTTTTCTCGCTGTAGATCCTCGATCTTATCTTCTAGTATTATTATATAGTCCTTGTCCTTCTTTGTTTGAAGTTCCAACTGCTCAATTTTCTTTTTTAGTTCCTCATTCTGTGATGCAAGGAATTCTATAGAGTTTTGTATGTTGTTATTTGTAACTCTTATGTCCATAAGGGTAGGGTGAATTTTCTTGATTTCATCCTGCTGTACAGCCATTAAAGTAGAAATCATTGATTTTATTTCCTCCCGAAAAGTGTAAAAATCATATTCATAATCATTTTCTCTGCCCCGTTTATTTCTTTGAGTGACAAAGTTAGGTGGTGTATGCTCTTGTTGTTCTGAGACATTTGATTCAGACGAAGATTTGTCAAATTTGTTCATCATTATATCAGGAAACAATAAGTTGTAAGAGATTTTTAATTTTACGGGACAAAAAAAAACAACAAAAGTTCACAGTACCTCTTTAGTTGGCGATGAGTTTAAAAGTACCAGGGTTAAAGCGTTGCGCAGAAGATTGCTAATTATTTTTGGCTGGCGTTGAGTATTCCTTGATTCTGTGCTTTTATTTTTCTTTGCTGATTATTTTCACCAATTTAAATTTATTAAATTTATTAAATTATATTTATAATATAAAATAATTTGTTGACAGTGACAGTTGACAGATTGATTTTATTCAATGAATCACCACTCTACCCCAGTTTGTATTGGGGAACTTCACGTCTTCGAAACATATTTTTTTTAATTTCTCATACATACGACTCGACTAGCACGAATGGGTCGGCTCAACCGGGGAAGGAAATCGCTTTCACAGAATATCAGCGTAAAATAGCAGCTTATTGCCGCTGTGTTCGTATGGTAACTGCAGAGAACGATTTTGATTCTTAATCGAAGGTAAACGTAGATTTATTTTTTTATAGAATAGGGTGACAAACAAACAGTCCACCTGATGGTAAGTGGATGCTTATAGAATAGAATAGAATCAAAATGCAGATGCATTGTCACCCCACAGGGCTAAGATGGAATGCCTTTTTCCCAGTAAAAAGGGTCTCCGGTTCCAGAGTGGTGACACATTCACCATAAGAAACATATCAGCTTAAGTTGCCATTTTACGCTGGTATTCTGTAAGAGTGAGAGAGAGGTCATACCTCGGTCGAGCCGGTCTAGTCAAGTCGTATGTATGTGAATTTTTTTTATTATTTATTATAAAGCCATTTCTTTCCTTAAAAAAATTATTAAAATGGAGATAATATTAACTATATTAAAAACTATAATAATAATAATAAAAAAAAAAAACTAAAACTAGAAACTTAATTATCATATAGTCCTGGGATATTCCGTTGGTACGGGGCGTGCAGTAAGATTTGTTTCATAATTTCCATATTGACCAAGATAAGGCACGCCTTCTAGCTGTTTCGACTAAGAAATCTAGTCACTGGTTACACGCTTTACCATCAAGTAATCTCGGCACATTACTTGATGGGGAAAGCTTGCGCATCGCCGTAGGAATCCGACTAGGAGCGGCGCTTTGTCAACCCCATGAGTGCCCCTGTGGTAGCAGTGTCGACAAGTTTGGGCTGGTAGGTTTTCACGACACAGTTCTTTGAACGATGTCATCCGAAGGACTCTTGTCTCTATAAATGTTCCCTCGGTTTTAGAGCCTTGTGGAATATTTAGAGACGATAGCAGGAGACCCGACGGTATGACAATGGTCCCTTGGGAGAGAGGTAAAGCCCTAGTGCGGGATGTTATTTGCGTAGACACTGGCGGCCTTTCATCTCAGGGGTACCTCGTTTAGAGCCGGGGCGGCATTAGAGGCAGCTGAACTGAGTAAGTGGCGCAAATATGAGTCTCTGAGAGATGACTACATATTTGTGCCATTTGCTGTAGAGACTATCGGTCCGTGGGGTCCACGTGCGATGAAGTTCCTAAAGGAACTCCATCCACGGCTGGTCGTTGCTGCTGGTAATAAGAGGGCTGGTTCTTTTCTCGCTCAAAGGCTAAGTATAGCCATTCAGCGGGGAAACGCAGCCAGCGTTCTTGGCACGATACCGCGGGGAGTAGGACTATATGATAATTAAGTTTCTAGTTTTAGTATTTTTTTTTATTATTATTATGTGAAATTAAAAAAAAAATGTTTCGAAGACATGTGAAGTTCCCCAATACAAACTGGGGCAGAGTGGTGACACATTTCCTTGCTCTAAACTCTCTCAAATATAAGAGCAATTTCTATCAAAAGATCTATCGACGGATCCTACTATTTGACTGGGACTTTGGACTAATCTCTTGGTTTGTTTTCCTCTGTCGCCTCTTACAACACCCACAGGACGATATGGGATAATGCATTTTGTATTATTATATTATACAACAACTTGAATGGTACAAATTTTTCTAAAAAAAATTTTTTGTTTGGTGTAAGAAATGTCATTCTAATTTTTCCAGTAGCCCAACGTTTGGTAGTATTGTAATTTGATGTCATTTTCTTGTAGGTATTTAATAGTTTTAGTAATATAAAATAATAATGCAATCAAAAACATAGCTTAAAATAAACAAGTCTCGCAATTCAGTCCATCTACCGTAAAAAGTTTTGAAATCCATGTAAAACCAATTCGGTTTAATTTATTTAGTCCCTACTTAAGGGTGTTTCTGTTTTAAGTAATTACGTAATTAGCTAACCTAATAACATCTTATAGTGACCATATCAATATTAAAAATCTTTCATGTTTTAAATAAATAGATTGACTTGGCAATAGCACTAAACAATCTAATTTAATATAATATGTACTTGTGTTACTTGTGAGATACATTGTGTTTTCATGCGATGACCAAGTGAATCTATTTATTTAAAACAAAAGATTCTTAAAATAATAAAAACCTGCGGTTTGTCAAACCGTCTGCCAATCGTGGCAACTATGGTAAAATCTTCTTTATAGGGTGTTATGGCGGGAAGGAAACAAACACACCATTAATATCGAAAAGGAAATTGTTACACTTCTATTCATTTCTCTTCTATATAATATTCTGTATGTAATATATAAATGTTAAAAGTTACTGAAATGAAATGAAACTACCGTAAATATATTAACGCATTTAATGCCACTTTGTATACTGAACTTGCTCCTACTATTTTCCAGTTCACACCAATATACCGTACCATAGCACACGCACAAACAACCAACCACATAAATCATAATTAGCAAAAGGCTAACAATTAGGCTCCCTAATTATCACAATTGGCACCTATTGAGGTCTAACAACGATACAAATACTTTATACAATAATTTAAACAATATACTTTGTAGATAAGAGCAAAGAAATAATTTACAATAGCTACGATAACGCTAACACTTGCACAAGGGACTAAAACACCTAATAATAATTCAAATTGAAGAGCATTTATACCCAGTTTACAGGCCCAAGCTACATTTAAAATTTCATGTCTTTAGTTCATTGGAAATTAAGTTTAAGATCGATAGAAAACAGCACAGAAAGCGAGGTAATAAAAATGTGCTAAAAATAAAATCCTTAAAACACTTTTTTCAATATGTTCTTCAGGCTTTTTCTTTTCTTGCTGCTGTTTTCGCTGTCTTGCTGTCCGTTTTGAGATAGTTCTGTCGATTCAGACCAGAGGCTGCCGGTTGGAGACTCGGAGGCAGCTTTTTTGTTTATTTTCCCATTAAACATGGGCTCTGAAGTTCTCATTACGGGACTAGGCGTACTTCTAGCACTCTGTCTACTGAAGGTCCTTAAAAACGCAGGTGACGATAGACGCCGCGTCTTCATAGTCTTTGATTTAAGATTGTTAAAGAATGATCCGTTTGTCTTTGGCGACTCCTTCTTAGCTGGAACATCTGTGAACTCTGTGGGTTCGGATACCGGTGCAAAATATTCGCCTTCGTCTAATGGTATAGGATTTTCTTGTATCCTCATGCTGTCTTGTCGGACGCAGTTCACATTTGCATCGTATTCTAGATTTCTGTGTATCACAGAAGCTTTCCTTCTTCTGTTCTTCCGGGCGACCTGCCATTCTCCCTCGTTTATTTCTTTTTCCATTTCTTCCGTTGATTGCCTTGCGATTTGGAATGCTTCCTCGCTGGGTCTCCGTTTTTTAGTAGACGGAGTTGCGTGACCACTAACACCTTCCACTGATTTTCTTCTGAATTTGTCCTGTTTTTTCTTAATCTTTTTTGTAATAGGAACCATCACTATATGTTCGCTCTTTCTTCTCTTAGATATATAATAGAAAGCTATAGTAAGTATTATGGCTTGATAGAGTATAAATTTTAACACTGTCATGTTTCCAAACCAGCTGTTTCTCTCCTCCGTCAACAAGTTCAAAGCGGCTGCCATTTGAGTTATCTGTTCCTGCAAGTTCGTTAATTGATCTAAGTACTTCTGCTCCCTCTCGCTGCTCCTTCGTCGCTCTTCGGACATTTGTACCATAGTTTTTTCGAATGACTTCTGCATTTCCTCAACTTGTTTCTTATATCGCCTACTCAGCTCTTCTAGATACTGACCAGACAGCGACATATTTCTTTCTAAGGTCTGGAATTAAGAAATAAATAATTTTAATTTAAAACCTAGACAATATTTTTTATACATAATATATATTATATTAACAACTAGCTACCAGCCCCGGCTTCGCCTGGATAGGATCTACTAACGTGGCGTTATTTAGATTTAAGATAGAGACCAGTTGTTTTATCAATTTTTTTTAAATCTTCAAGTTTTTCGGATAAAATATAGCATAGATCCCTCCTGGCGTTGTTCTTATGTGGTTCTATATGTCTTAATAGCATGCAAATAGCTGCTGGAGCTTAACAGAAGCCTGTTATTTCAATATTACTATTACACACACTTCAGTTTTATTTATATGTAAGTATTGATAAAATTATCTAAACCGTTACCGTTACAGCCATTTAAAGTCCACTGCTGATTGATTACTCCCCCAAAGATTGCCACACAGGGAGGATATTTGCCGTAGTTGCCACGCTTGGCAAGCGCGTTGGCAACCGCAGTTTTTTTATTTTTAGTCGTTATTAGGAGACACTGCTGCCCATCTGACTTTTTTTCCTATGTCGCTTCTTACAAGACCCACAGAATGATATAGGGTAGTGGATATTCTTAAACCGTCACTGCACGGTAAATATATATAGACGATACGAGATAAAATTATGGAAACGCATGTGCACAAATACGATTATATAGAAATTACGTAGATTAATCACTACGTAGTGCTACTAGTAGTTATCTTTACGTAGATATATTAATTTAACTTCTTATAACATATGTTTTTTAAGAAAAAAGTCAATTTGAAAATTTAAAAGTTCTTTAATTTTCACTTTAGATAAAATCAAGTTCGTGAAGTCTATATGTTATTAAAAATTTTATCTCTCATCTAGTGGTATGTGTACTGGCTAATATGCATGTCGTAGATTTGAATTCCAGTAAAACCCTACCAGACGGAAACCCGACAGGGCCAAACGGTCGTTTATATTATCATTCATTCCATATGTAAAAAATAATGAGTTTTTCAATATAAAATAAACTAAAACAAGTGAGTGAAGTGTACGTACCTTTACCCTGTTAGACAGTCTCAGAAAGACTGACTCCTTCTGGAAGGATGGCTGAGCTTGGTTCTGGTTGAGAGTAGATTGTGTTCCCATAGGCGGGGGATCAATAGCCATCTGGTCAATGTCCGATATAAAATTATCGCTTTCAATCATGATCATTTGATCATTCATATCATCAACTGCGGTAGTTTCCTTTGGTTTATCTATTACTAATTCCGATTTACCATTATTCATCTCAGTCTCTGCAGATCCTTTTTTATCCTCAGCTTCAACGACTGATTCTAAGGCTTTATCAATGTCGGATGTGGAATCCTCTTGAGGCTCTGGAACTGGAATTTCTTCTAGGACTAACAGCTGCTCGTCTTGTTTTTGATCTGTTTCCTCTTTTTCTTCCTTCAATAATTCTAAGGGCACACTGTTTTCTTTTGTTTGTTCTAAAGGAACTGGTATTTCTTTCAATTGTGTTTCGTTAATTTTATCATCTACAGTATCGCCATCTTTTATCGGAACTACATTAATATCCAATTCCAAACTTATTTCGCTATTGATTTTCTGCGGCGACTCATCTAAAGTTATATTTGAAGTGACATTTTGTTCAGTCTCAAAACTTGTATTTAACACAACCTTCTTTTCTTCGATTGCGAGAATGTTACACAACGCGGCTAAATATTTCGGTGGAAACAGAGCGTTCACATACGCGACACGTTCATCATTAAATTCAACTGTTTTTGTACTTTTAAAATCTAAACCAAATGGCTGACAAATTCCTGTACACTTTAAAGTCTCCCGTAAGAACACTTGACGCACTAAATTAGTTAATCTGTCCGAGCTACAACTGAGTAACTCATACACTTCGTTATAAAGTGTTTCACTACAATTATCACATACAATAATATGGCTTGGAGAACAACACTTTTTGTACATTTCGTCTACTGAAGTATCGTTACGTTCATTAGATATATTTTTAGGAACTTCTGTCTTTACCAAAGCTTGAGCGGCTTTCTTCATAATAGACATGACTGCATCCCTCGCCGAACCAAAAAGGTTCTTGGAAGGTTCTTTTTCTACTGCTGGTATATCAGGAACGTCAATTATCTCGTCGTCTTCGTCTTCATCTATATGAGCCGGGTGCTGGGAGCTTTCCTTCTCTAGCACCTCAAACTCTGACGTTCCATACACCTTGAATAGCGATATAGGGCAATAATGTTCGGAGCCATGATGAGATAACATTTCAACTTTGATAAATTTACCAAATAAATGTGGATACAGATCGAAACTCTGTATGTCTCTTATATCTTGAGCAGTGAACTGACCGACGCTGGCCCAATCCCTTGTTGGGAAACGGTCGCTGAAATACACAGCGATGTCTTTTGGGGTGGAGGAAAATAACTCGAAGTTAGCTATTTCTATTTTCTGTGCCTGAACTGCTTCACACAACTCTACTACAAACCAAATGCGACTGTTGCATGTATTGAGCATATATTCATCCCTGTTTGGGGATAAAATGGAGCTTGGCGAGCCCGCTTCCGGATTAACAGCTACGACTTTAGCTCCGCAAGCTAACGAAGCGTAGTTTTTTGAGCGTAGCTTTGTGCTTTTATTACTAAAATTTGTATTACTATGACTAGGTTGACTCGAGTGGTTCAGTACGGTGTCTTTTTTCTCGGCTTCAGCCAATTGTTTTTGGGCCCACTCTGAGAATGAAGGAATATCTTCTTGTGATGTCTCTGGCTTAACTGGAATGTTTTCTTCTCTTCTTTCTTCAGATTGAGATTCTTTTTCTGCTTCAGGCATAGGTGTGGTGCTTCTAAATGCATCTTCTGTTTGTCTCGATTCATGCATTGGTTTCGCTTTAACAATAAGCAAAGGCTCTGTAGATTCTTTTTCAGTACTGATTTCGCCGAGTTTTTTATTTTCAGCATCTGTAGCATCAGTCTCTCCAATGGTGAACCTTTTTGTATCATTATGTTCTTCAGAATCATTGACGAACAACAGTTCGTCGGCGGCTTTTAAATCCAATTTAACGTTTTCTACTAGAGAGATAAGTATTGGAGGCTGTCCCGTATCAGGTAACCTGGAACAATAACGAAAACATTTGTAATATTATTTATGAAAATGTATATAACTATATAAATTTATATAGAATATAGAAATTTATATTTTCATCATCATATAAACGTCAAAGTGCGAGTTATTCTGTAAATTAACTTCTCAGCATCAGTAGCATCAAATTTTCGAATAATATATAATGATATGCAATACATTATGCGTTACTGCTTTAAAATCAATGTATACAACTACTACTTCAAATTAAGGGCAAACTCGATATGTTTTGATAAAATGACATAAGATCCATAAATGTCGTCAATGTATTTCAATATAAAGCCAGTCGTGCCCAATTGAGACAATCAGTGGTCAATTGCCGCGACTGTGTTCCCGTGTGGGAAACAAGAAGCGCCTCAACATTCCCGCATAATGAAATTATACACCTCGTAAATGTTTTTCTCACAAAGCCTTCATCTAAAATAATACATTCTAATTTATAATATATTATATAGAACATAAATGAAAAAAAAAATCAACTTTTTTAATGTTACACTGACATTTGACGGCTGGGTAGCGTAGTGCCTTTTGCTACGGCATTGCTAGCAGTGGGTTCTAATTCTGCATGAAACAAGTTAGTGTTTGGTGTGAGGAAATGATTTGTTCATTCATAATAATTGACACACGATACACGAGCATGTATAAGTGTGGGTTTTCTTTTTATTTAAATTCCCGCTGTTAATGATCTTATTGAGTACTAGCTGTGCCCGCGGCGTAGCTCGCGTATATAGATTTTACATAAAGAATTTGTCGTTTAGGTAAGAGAATATTAAACGATTTATATCATTACTGTATCAATAAGTGGTAACAAATAAATCATTATCATGAAAGTTCTAAGTAGTTTATGATAGAGCTTCGGTGTAAACGACGTTAGAAGTAGACTTAGACGGGGTGTACACAAAAAGGTTACGGGGGCTACTAACGCGGGAAAAAGCAACATAGAGTTGGCCATGTGCAAAACAGTCAGTACTGAGGTCCACTCTTACAACGCGTAAATTTTGACCTTGCACTTTATTTACGGTCATCGCATAACACACGCTGACTGTAACTGGGAACTGAACGCGCTTAAAACTGAAAGAAAATTTACTTCTTAATAGAGGGTTTTTTGGCAGTGCTGCCAGATCAAAAAAACTCATTCAGCGCTAGGACAACACAAAAAGCGCTACATTTCATGAAAACAGCGCTTTAAAAAATCCCTAGATTTCGCGCTAAATTAACTACAAACAAACTTTGTGTTTTTTATTATAATTTATAATTCAAGAAAATATAATCATAATAAAGAAAACAACATTAAGTTTTTTTCTGGCAATATTTTTTGATGTATCAATACTTCGCAGGACATCGACTTATAATTATGGCAATTGCTGTCAACAATAGTTAGTACTACTCTAAGTAACTTTTAACTTAGCTGTGCTCTAAACAACTGACTAAAACTGAATAAAGCAAAATAAATGCGTTGCCAAAACCATGAACGAAAATTTTAATAAAGGGGATTTCCCCGCTTATAGTCGTCGATAAAAAAAATCAAGTTGATCATCCTAAAGGGGAAGCCGGGAGATCCATAGCACAAGGTATCCTAGTTTGGACTCGTCTCCCATGCTCTTTGTTTTGTGGAAAAAATATGTTTGAAAAAGATAAACTGCAATGTACTATTTGTGGAAAAAAATAATAAAGGTCATTATTATTATTATCGGTAATGTGGACTAACAGTGCTGCTATAAAAGAGTTAATAACCCGCTAGTCGCTACAATTTTGAAATGTGTGCTAAATACACCAAAAAGCGCTGGATTAAGTGCTAGGTGCAAAAATTTCGAAATGCGCGCTACACATTCCAAAAAAGCGCTAAATCTAGTTCCCAAAGCGCTAAAATGGCAGTACTGATATTGCGTATATTATAAATACAATATCACGACATTTCGTTGCAATTTTGTTATTTTTGTTCGGGTTCCATTGTATGGCTTCGATAGATACAAATTTCTTCAGTAACTCTCAATACGATTCATCGGCGAAAAATCTCAACACAGCAAATCAGAAAAGTTTGTAATTTGTACAACTCCATCTATTACGTCCTTTGTGTGAGAAAACATCCTTTTTTAATTCTCTTTTTATGTTTTAAGTATAAATATATTAATTATTATGGAACGTTTTTTTTACACACAAATCTTTTTATTACTATTTCTGAGATTTTTATGGCGCCATTGAACAAATTCGAACCTACATTTTAAAATAATAATCATTATTTTCGATAGAATTAAACAATTTTAATAAAACAAAGATTAAATGTAACTTGAAGATACGCTTTATGATTTTCTTAATGATTTCTTTGAAAAAAAAAGATGTTTACTTTAGACGTGATGCATTCATATAAAAACAGACAAACAGACAGACAGACAATTCTAAAAATTATAAAAATGTACTTATTTAATTATTTTTAGTTCCCCATAATCATTTTAGTCACCAAAATAAATATACAATGTACAGAAAGAGACACAACATGTTATCATCATTTTTATTATATGTATATATTTAATTGAAGAGAGATGGCGCTGCTAACATCAACTTGATGACTCAAACAAAGCCACCTTTGAGCAAATTCCCTACCCATACTTCAGAATATTTATCATAACTTTTGATGGAATGAACCGATTTTAATGAAATAAAGACTAAATGTAACCCGAAGATACACTTTATAATTTCCTTAACAATTCTTATGATATAAATTAGTACTTTAAACGTGATACGTTAACAAACAAACAGACAGACAGACAGACAGACAGAAAATTCTAAAAATGGTAGAAATGTATTTAATTACTTATGTTTAGTACCCCTCAATCACTTTTATTACAAAAATATAAAATGTACAGACCTGCTATTTACAGTTTTATTATATGTATAGATTTATTTGCAAAGTAACTTCCTTACTTACAAAAATTTACATCGATTTAAGCATTGCAAAGTTGCTCCCTCTCTCTTCATTATATTATAAAAGAAAAAGATATAGAGATCATTTAATACTAAAGTCAAGCAAGCGATAATCAACGATCGTAAGGCATTAAATGTTTATTACTGACTAAACTGTTATAAGGTATACCTTATGAAAATTTCAGACGTAGACAACCTCGATAAAACATTATTTATTAAGGTACAGTTATTTGAACACGACACGATACAACCGCGAGATCAAATCGTTTCACAAGTCAGCAGCTCGTTAAGGCCTGAGCAGTTGTTTTGATTATGATACACAACGTTACATTCCAACGTTGCAGCGGATTTATGTCAGAATTAATTATCTAAGACGACTCTCCAAAGAGTCAGTAATTCCTTCATGGGGCAATGTGTACGATTTTACAACATAGTCCCAGAAAATATGCAGGACCTGTTTAAAAAAAATTATTACTGATTGTGATTTGTGTGATTAGATTGAGTAGGTGGCGCTGTTATCGAGATACAGAAATCACCCGTGCGAAGCCAATGCAGAGCGCTAGCTAATTTATAAAAGATATATTTACCACAGTTGCCACGCTAAACAGGCGGGTTGGCAACCGCAGTATGTTAGTATATTGCAGTTGCTATCAGAAAAGTGCTCCTGTCCATCTGTTTCATTTACCTCTGTAATGACACCCAAAAGATGGTATTGGGTGGTGGAATTCTATAACTCCGCACTACACGGCTGAATAATAAGCTGTAGGATCGGACAGATAGACAGCGCACATGTTAATTCCTAACGCGCATCTCTAGCGTGCATTGGTGTTATCAGAGAGCGTAATCAGTTCGCGGTATCAATTTAGCGCGGGTTATATTATAATGGCGTGGTATTCGCACGAGCCCCGCTGCGAGCTGATTGCCGACATGCTCATATTTCGTGTCCCGTTACACCAGTGCGTACTGCACGCAATAAATGTACCTTACTTTGAACAGTGAAATAAATTCCTTTTTGCTGTAACATTTGCAAATACATACATTCATGGGCATATCTAAGATAACTAATAACAGAAAAAAAATAATTTTCTTAAATATAGATTATAAATAATTCCCATCGACAGTAATTTTTAGGGAGTTATGGTGGGAGTTTTACCGCCGGGCGATTGTTGCTCTACTGTTTAATAATTAATAGTTTGAAGTGGATTTTAATACGTAAAAGTGGTGCGATTGTATGAATTAGGTATCTGTGCATGTGAAATTACTCATATTGAGAAACGACGAAACAAGTGCATCGATTGTTGATATAGAACGGTTAAAAGGCCGGCACCGCATCTGCAATTCCCCCTGGTTCCCCTGGTGTTGCGGTTGTTCATGGGCGGCGGTAGTCACTTACCATCAGGTATAAAAAAAAACCTCAAGTTATTTTGTTCGCTTAGGCGCCTTAAGAACTTGAGATATTGTCGCATTCTCCTGCCTTCTGGGTTAAGTTATCGTCTAAATCTCCGAAATTTCGCAATGTGACGCATCAACGTATTGTGAAGAAGTTTTTTAAACAAAATATAATGGATAATTTCTTATTACTTGACACTGGCATAAATAAATCTCTATGAGTCCATGGCGAAAGAAAAAATAAAGTAATTTTGTACTTTTTATCATTGGTTCGTTAAAACCTCTGTCCTGGAAAGAGCCAACATGCAAGAAACCCAGCAGGACTTTTTTTCATAGTAACACTATACAATATAAAGTATGTTGTACTTGCACCTACACACAATTATTTATAAAACTCATGGAACAGCTTAGAAGCGACGTTATTGTCATGTTATGATGGAATGCTTCACAACCTGTAATTATCTGAAAATGCTTTTACTAATACTAGCGACCCGCAGTATCTTTAGCTGGATGACCTACAGTGACGTGCGCGTAATTACGTACGAGAAACGCTTCACAAAAAATAACTGTACTGGTAGGTACGAAAGGTTTGGGTAAAGACTTTTTTCATTCATTAAAGACATTCACAAGTCTACTGCTGAACATAGGCCTCTCCCATGGAATGCCACAAAGCAAGGTCCTAAACCTGCACCCATCGACTTCCTGTATCTCTTAACAGTTCGTCCCTCCATCTCGTGGGGGGAGGGGGGACTACACTTCGTTTACCGGAACGGGACTGTTACTCGAGAACCTTTCTTCCCCATCGAATATCGGTGCTTCGACGGGTAAAGTTTCAGGTTTATCTGACTCAACCTCTAGAAAAAAATATCTGATGGCGGATAATAGTTTGTCTCGTAGATCCTAGAGCGAATAGAATAGAATATTTTTTATCCAATATAGATTATTACATAATACTTATTGAGTATTTTTTTATTTATCACTGGTTCTCAAAATAACCCTGTCCTGCGAAGAACCAGCAAGAAATCCCGCGATTTTTTTTTGTATATGTTTCACTTTACAATAATTTTGTTGTTTGTTTGTACAAATTTTAAACGAGTTTTAATAGAACCAGCATGGTGGAGATCACTTAATTTTTATCACTAGTGTATTCTTTGATATTATAGTCCTAACCCTTCTTGTAAAATTTGTCTTTAATAAAACATTTGAAATTATTTATTGACAAATTTTGTACATTTTCTGGGATTTTGTTGTAAAAGCGTATACATTGCCTCATGAATGCATTACTAATTCTGTCCTCTATAACGATGTTGATATATGAACGATGTGAATACCTTCAATTTGGACATCAGTTCGTCCAGAGAAAACTGACACTCGTCGGAATTCTGCTCGAGATAATTATAAATATACTATTGGTAAAGTCAATGGTGCATGCGGCATGCCCTAAGCGCATTAAAAAAATTACGTACAACATGATGATACGGAATTTTTTTAGTGGTTTAAATACACAAATTTTCACTAATAAACTTATAACTGTACATACTTCCAATAATTTTATGTCAAACTTCAATTTAAAAATAAGTTTGGAAAATCCAAAAGTGCACGACAAAGCGCATCATATTAAGGTCACTCTTTATAGTCCAAGACGTATTTAAGTATAAATATATTAGTGACCGACCCAAGTTTCGGTTTCGGTTTCGGCCGAAACTAACACCCAGACCGAAGGTTCGTTTTCGGTTTCGGTTGAAAATCCTGTTTCGGTCGGACACTAAAATATATACATCCCACTTACTTTTAGTTCGTACTACTATTATAATAATCAAGTATGTATGATATTTGGTTTTTCGAATACTTTGTATTTGTACAGCGATGTTTTTGAGCCGCTGCAAACAACCGATACAGTATCCACTCACGACGGCGGTTGACGCCGAAGTGAGTGAGTGAGGCAGTCTATTTAGTAAAATAAATTAATACAAGGGTGCTATCGCAGCCGTAAAAGTTAATTATAACTAAACAAAACAAAATTAAACTGCCATTTACATTTCATGGCTTCCCACAGGATAGATGAAGAGATTAAAAAATAGATTGAATTATACAATTGATATTTTCAAAAGTTATCGTGTTTACCACTCCGTGCGGACTTGATAAATCTACACCATAAGTCGCTAAAACCACTTTTTTTAATGTAAAAATAGCAATTAATCGATTTAAAAAAATGTTAATAAGTTCAACAATCATTTATCTTTCTGACAATGTGCTTTTTGTATCATTTATATGTTCAATATAATTGTTAGATACAATTTTATGCGATAAAACGTTGGAATCTTGATTTTTAGGCGCTAGTAGAACATATTTGTTTTGTTTGCTTTAATAATAAAAATACTAATTTCAAAAAGTAGCACACGTATTTTTTCAAACAACAATGCTCTAAGTAACGTTTAATACATACACGTAAAAGTAATGGATATTCCTATCAAATTAAAAACAAATCTATTTCTGATGCGATCTAATTAAATTAAACGAAGTAAACTCAAAGCTTACATGTAAAATATCTTGGTGAGTCCTTGGTGGCCACCGTACGACAGCAGTTGACATACCAGCAGAGCCGCAAGCAGCGCCCGCGGCGGCGACATCGCCACGCCGCCGCCGCATTGGCGATATCCCGCTGCACCTATCACAACAACGGCGTTGCCTCCGCAATACACGTGAATTTGGGACTATCCAAACGTTGACCAAAGTTCCCCCTCGTGTATGCAAACACAACACTGCAAATATCCGATCGTAAATGTCAAATGGCGGGAACTTGGCGAGCGCGCGAAAATTTCTTGACAGCACTATTATGAACGTTCAATAACGTTTTTATTTCGAATAAAAATAGTTTGAAGTTCGTTTTGTTTTTGCACTTGCAATTACGTTGAATTATATAAGTTTGCACTTATTTATTATTTAATATGTACATAGATGTTATGTACAACTACAATGTTAATTCATGTATTGCGAACTTCTTCCATAATGTGTTGATTGCCTAAGTAGTAGAAAATTACAATCAATTAATACATCCATTAGAGTACATCATTCAATTATTACTTCATTTGAAATAGACTTAAGAATAGGCATTTAGATAATTTATTATTATGACGTCGTATTTTTCTTATAGAATAAATGTGACAAACTAGCAGACATGCCATCCGATGGTAAGTGGATGCTGTCATGCTGTGGCCTATACACATCTATATCTATCCTCAGTTACGAATCAAAATGCAAAAGCTTTGTAACCCCTAAGGACTAAGATGAATGATTAGAATCGTTTCCAGTGAAGTCTCCGGTTCTCTATACTAACTATATGAAACAAAGCTGCTATTTTACGTTGGTATTCTGTGAGAGCGTGGTCCTTCCCCAGTTGAGCGGACCCTATCGTGTTACAACCATAATATAAGATTTTTACTAACTGCTATAATGTATGTTATCTTAGCCGCAATTCTACCTTAAAGTTATAATGTCACAGCAATAACCGCACTAGTTTCGATCACGTCTTTGAGCAACAACGAACATATTTATTATCTGTGCGCCGCGTTTGAATATGGGCAATTTGTCTATGTTGTACCAATTACAGATCGTGACAACGAGGGTTGTGCCTGTACCGATCGGAACACGACGCAGCGCGCCACACCGCTTGTTCCGTGCACTTTACAACAGTTAACTATGCCGCTAATTAGTGTTGTCCCATCAACGATTTGCTTAGCAACCGTTAAGTTATAAAATATGGATTGATATGGTAAATATTTAAATTTTCTTATTTTATTTAAAAAAATATACTTCATAATAAGCATCCCGTAGAAATCTACTGCTGGAAATAGGCATTATTCTAAATAATAATTTATTTTATTAGTATGATATATTATTACGTCCGAAGACCCTTCTTACTGGAAACGAGGCATTCCATCTTAGTCCCAGGTGTGGCAACGCATCTGCATTTTGATTCTTAACTCAGAATAGATATAGGTGTCTATAGGCCACAGTATACACTTCCCATCAGGTGGACTGTGTATTAGTTTGTCACCTATATTCTATAAAAAAATTGCATTTAAGAACGCAAATAAATTGATTTTTTTTTAGCTCTTTTTTCTATTAATAGTTTTATTATTTCTTAGCTCTTTATCGCGGATGGTATGCACCACGTTGAGAACTAGTGAAGTGTGAATTAGAGACGCTCTATTTACGTTCACAAGTTAAATGCGTCACTTTTGCGTAACACTAGTTTAATTAATGACATAACAAGCGCACGCGACAGTTAAACGTGTAGCTTCGTAACGATAGCTCGCTAATTTTGTAAAACAATACTTTTGCATACCTCGAACGCGAAGTGAGAAAGGTTGGGTTTGGTATTTAATGTAAAAGAGGGGAGGAGAAATCCTTCCCCGAGGAGCGACTGCAATGGCTCAAATGGCGCCTGGCGTTGGTGGGGCCGTGGATGTCTGCGAAAGCGTGAGAAGAAAACATCACGAGACGGTGCGAATCCATCATAATCCGTCTTTGCCCCCATGAGTGGGTGTGGGGCCATTTCCCCCGGGTTAGAAAAAATACTGTCGACTTGACAATGCATGACATCCACAATGCAATCTAATCACATTTACATTTATACGTATTCTGTTGTTGAAGCCTTACCAATTTTCAATAATATAATTTACTATATCTTATGTCATACACAGCTAAGTAGCGATAACGTCTAATTCTAAAGTCATCTAATGGATTTGCGTACTATGTGATTAACCAGTTATGTATGTAAATGCAGGATTGGATATCAAGAGAAAATAATGAAGTAGAAATTTAATTTGAATAATTTATTAATATGCGTATTTAATATGTGATTTATGCGGCAGTAGTTGGGAGCACTAACAAATGAGTAAATAAACGGAACAGAGATAAAGCTTCATACAACCGCGCGAAACGGTTGCACTACTACAAGCACGCGGGGCATGTGTGCGTGACCACTGGCCGCTTGTCGCTTACGCGGCGAGACTGGAAAAAACCGGTTACGCTGGCAAAGCGTGTGTACAACCAGTGTGTGTTCCAAGTGAGGACTTATGGATCTGAGAGGTGGCTATGGAGAGGACTATGCTCGGGGTTTTTGTGCGTGATACACTTACAAATGAGGATAATATCTGCATTAGAACCAGAGTACCATCGAATTAGTAAGCTAAAGTGGCAAAGTGGCAAAGGTGGCTATATAGCTCGAAGAACCGATAACCGATGGGGAAAAAGGGTTCTCGAGTGGCAGCCTCGTATCGGTAGGCAAAGTGTAGGGCGACCCCCTTCTAGATAGAGTGAGGACCTGGTAAGACATACAGGAAGTCGATGGATCAGGTGACTCAGGCTGTAACGATGACGATGAATGAAGATGGTATTAATATGTCATATGTTCTTGAGTGGCTGCCTCGTACTAGGTAGTTTTATGTATCAATTCTTAACTGCCCGGCACGTAACACAGCTAAATCGGCACTTAAAATTGCAGTTAATCAGTGTTGAGCCGATGGCCATCAAAATTGGAATGTTCGCGGCCATTTCCTGAGAAATCACGGGTAATAGATATTATATAATATTTCATTATTAAAGATGCCTAAACGCTTATGCGTTGAAATCCTTTAATTATCTGCATCACCCTTATCAATACAGCTCTTTACAAACCCTCTGCTGAACATAGGCCACCCCATCCAACAGGAATGCCACAAAGTACGCTAGCCCTACGCTAGCCCTAGCTTTCATCCATCGATTTCTTGTATCTCTTAACAGGTCTTCACTCCATCTAAGTGGGAGGCCGTTTTACACTTCGCTTACCAGTACGACGCTGTCGCTCGAGGGGCGGAGCCCATAGGTTGTCGGTTTATAGAGCTATATGGCCAACCCGTTACCACTTTAGTTTCACTGATCCTTTGGGCTAAGTCGGTTACTCTAGTTCTACTATGGTATCTTCTCCAAAAAAAAGAGAAAGAGAAATCCCAAGTAGGTATACCATCTACCATAGCTCGCAAAGCGAATTTAAGCTTTCTCATATGACCAAAAGTGAAGGATCACGTCTCAGATCCATATGTCATCACTGGCAACAACACAACTATACGGACGATAGGATGTCGTAATCTTCCGAACGTCACCCAGTAGAACTGGATCCGCCGATTGACCTTTAAATTTTTTTTCGACCACAGCTGTCTCTTGCAATAAGGCCAGGATGCCGCCAAGTATAGTATGACAACTTGTTAAGCTAAGCAGTTTTAAAAGAACTCGTGGTTACTAGAGAGAAAACTTAAAATAGGTAAACATCTCCTGATGGGCAGCAGCGTCTTCCTAATAACGACTAAATATAAAAAACTGCGGTCGCCAACCCACATGTTAAGCGTGGCAAGTGGCAACTATGACAAATATCCCTCTATGGAGGATATTTGCCATAGATGTATGTGGAGCCCTATGTTCAGCAGTGGACTTAAATAGGCCGTAACTGTAACCTTAAAAGTAAAAAAAGAATTATAAAAATAATGAGCAACGTTAGAATGTACGTAAATTGGAACGTACGTGTATCAAAAAGCAAATAGACTTACCATAATACCAGAAGTATTACAGAATTAGAATTTGTTAACGCTTCGTTGGTTTTCGTTTATGACGGCATTAAGTTAATTACACTTATACGAACGATAAAACTTGTCCCAAAATTTGTTTCTACGAGACTAATTTAAAACGTAATTAACATATTTAAATATTACTTAATATGTATCACAGTTCGCAAGGAATTTATAGCATTATTACCATAATATAAAACAAATGCATCTGCATTACATTAAAAGATATTCAAATGTTTAAATCATTTGCATATCTTTTCGCGATTCGTTTTTAGCATCATTTATAGCTCTCGAATACCGCTGTACGTAAGCCTTATTTTACTGAATGGAGTTACGCCCATGCAGGAATTTAATGGATCCAGGTGGCAGAGGACCGAATTTTATGATAATCCTTAGTAGCACGCTATGGCTGTAATAATGGTGACCATGATGAATCCCCTTAAAGCGCAAGAGACTTCTTTACCCCAATTCGTCCCGCGGTTTCTCGTTAACGCAAACGGAAAATATCAAGATCGGGGTCGAGCAGCTGCCTCAAAAGTGCGAAACGTCTGGCACTGCGTATCACCAATCCGAATGCTAAAACTGACTATTAAGCAAATTCTTCGTATAACTTTAGGGGTCCATTTCCAGCTGAGAGCTTTAAAGATAGCTCTTATATGTAGTAAAACCAAATTGCAGATATATTCTGGAAGTAGCATGGGTCGGCTCGGCCGGAGAAAGACCACTCTCTCACACAATACCAGCGTGATACGCCTAATGCTGATGACCTTTTCCTGAAACGAGGCTTTTCAACTTAATCCTCAAGAGTGAAACCGCATCTTTGATTCTTAATCAAGCAAACATGCAGATGTCTATGAGCTACAGATTTCACTTACCATCTGATGAACCGTATGATCTTTTGTCACTCTTATTCCATAAAAAGAGAGCTTTTATCTAATTTGCGGTGTCCCCACACATTACAAAGTCGGATTGTACTCTCTTGTACTTGTGCCTAAATATATTATATTATACAATTATATTTTAAG